TTTTTTTAAAATAAATTGAAGGATGATTAAGGATGACATTACCGGTATTTCATTTGACATTATCAAGGGGTTTGCCCCGGTGTTTCTGGCAGTGCCTGCAATATGCACCGCAGCACCTTGTAAACCCTTACATTGTATATCGTGCTACATAATGGGTCTCATATTTCTCATAAACTTCATTTACCTGCCTGTAATAACCGACATAATTTCCAGCGCCTTGAGTACCTAATAGTTGGTACATGTCTATACGTGCGCTACATGTATATATATAAGGCTTGGTTATTATTATTATTATTACATTGTATAAGTTCAGTCGTAAATGCAAAAACAAGCAAAAGTATGGAATTCAATCTTTTTTTGGTTCACTGTAAATATTTAAAGTTACATACATTGTACTCAGTACTCTTTTTAAAAGACTTGACTATTTTCTCCTAACAAACTTTTGAATTTGTATAAATTTATACTGTTTTGTTTTGTCGACAAAATTTTTTGATCCTACCTTTACATGTTTTATGCTCTTTCCAATTAACATTATTTCGTTTAAAACCCATCTAGCATTGTTTAGTAGCCCAATTGGGTGCAATGTCCCTTTAATTTAATGTTAGGCTGTCGTCACAAATTTATACCACGACCCAGTACATGTATTTGGAGGATATTGGAGAATAAAATTCTGCAGCTTCCAATCTCGTCCATGTTATTATTCTACACGTACACACATGTACATGTACACGTACATGTACATGTACACGTTACTGAAGAGAAAATCTACGAAACACACAATATGTTTAGCCTGAGGTCACATTGAACTCCAAACTAAAGGCAGACCAAATATGCAATGAATAAGATCAAAACCACCCTACATTTGTACAATGCACACGTAGCATCAAACATGAACTTGACAACAATGCAAGGATTAAATCAGCTTCCTGCACAAACTGGTTTCGGTTGTGATTCTGTAAGGGGCTAGCCTTTAGTCAAGTCCCACGCGCCTATACCCGGACCATCCGGACACGTAACGCACCCTGGATGCTGGCACATAAAAAGGCTAGCACGAGCGGCGAAGCTGCGAGGGCCTTTACTATCTCGTGGAGCTAATCACTTATTCATTTTTTCACGTAATGTAAATCAAACAATATAAACCAATCATCTAACGGCAGTTTGCGGTTACCAGCAACAGCACCCGCGCCATGGCGCGCGTGCTGTCTGGCGCCAGACGACGGTTGATTTACGTTAGTAATTCTGCATTTTCATTGGTCAATTCACAATGGGTAAATAATGCATTATGCATGTCTACCAAATCGGTAGAAAAATGTAAAGAAAAACATAGCGTTCTCCACGAGATGGTAATGGCCCTCTCGTGCTGGTCTTTTTACGTGTCAGCATCTGGGGTGCGTCACGTGTCCGGGTAAGCGCATGGGACTTGACTAAAAGCTAGTAAGGGGCAAGCTGGAAGACTGAACATTCAAAATTTCAAGCTTCTGGCTAGTCCATGTAATAGTTTTGTCATGGTCTATTACACGTACATGTACCGTACCGGTACATTTGAGCAGATTTGCTGATTAATTATGCAAGACAAACTGACAATCGCATCTTGACCTCTTGATTCTGACCAATCAGCGGGCACTTTCTATATCCATGATATCTGGTCTCCGGTCTTTCACCGTTGTCGCGTCATAGACACGGATAAAAAAAAATACCCTAGACACAGCAGCAAAGGCTCATGTTAGACGATACGCGCCCGGCTGTTGTTGTATTACAAAACAATGCATTCGAATTGACCAGTCACACGTTTAGTCCTGATTTGGGAATGAACAATGAAGTAACGTCATGATTTAGTAAAGTCGACTCCGATTGGCTGAGACGTGAATCGCATAAATCTGCATGTTTTGGGACGTTAGGCCTACACAGGAGACTTGGCTCCGTTGATAACGGGAGATACTCAGACCAGCTTCTGGCCTGCTACCCATAGAAAGTACATACATGTACGTACCAGTACAGGGCATTTACCAAACCTTGGCTTTTCTCTACAGCATTGGCTCCATCCGTGACTCATCAACATGCCCAAGGTTCATTTTCGGTCCTTTTAAAGGCTACATTGTAAATAGGATCAAGTGCTCTTCATGTATTTTGTTCGTTTGCAATAATTACACCACTCCAAATCCATAGCTGCCAACATTTCAAAATCCCAATTAGTAATCAACCCGCGCGGTCATTTTCAACTGCTCATTTTATCAAAAGCTTTACCAACATCGAGTACAGGTACATGGTTTACATGTACACATACATGTGCATACCCTTCTTCTTGTGAATAATAATGTAATGTAGGCCAAAAGATAATTTAAAAAAAAAAAAAAAATGTTTTTTTTTTTTTTTTTTTTTTTTTTAATTAATTTTTTTTAATGTCTGTATTTGTTTGTTGGAGTCAAATAAATAATAACAATAATAAAATATGCGCATATTTTTTGGGAGATGCATGCTATCGATGTGGAGTTTCGAGTTCGTATCAATGTTTTTACACACAATGATTTAGGGCCACCGTCATGACCGTATGCAATAGAAATATCCCGCCAACATACCTTGCAAACGCATGCTGATTTACATGTATCTTTTCTGGACGTTGTGACAAACTCAAACTGTAATACCAATTATTCCAACCATACTCTTATTAAATTCCATGATTAAATTGTCGCACTGATGGGTCTCATCCCGGCAATAAGCGACCAAATGTGCTCACGATCGTCACTGAAAAGTACTCACATACAGTACACACAACCACACATCCACGAGATGCACACAAATGACACACCATTGAAAAATAGTTTTAGTCTGGTCCTCAAGTACTCCACTGCGCACACTGCATTGATGTCTATCAGGTGCTTGACTGCATTCTTATTAGACTTGTCACCAGTCCATCCATTATCGCGACATTTCGCCAGAAGTTTTCGGTCAAAAACGATACTTTACAAGTATTTTTTTTTTCATTAGGTAGAAAATGGGAAATTCGTAATGTTTTAGTGGCAAATCGTATTTTCGTAATTTAACAAACAATTCGTAATAATTACGAAAAATTAGTAACAGTTGGCAGCTATGCAAATCCAACGCAGACTGTCCAAAACCTAACCTGTCAAACTTTCAGCTCAGTGGATATTACATTTTTTGAGCAAACAGTGAAAAACCATGCCCACCTTTTAGATCAAGAAACGCGATACGTCAATAACACTCAGTCTTACATCAAGTCACTGATCGTTAGAAATCACCTACATGTAAATTTCTTGATTTCTTGTTAATGGCAGCAAGACAGATGGAACAATTTCACGGGGTGTTTAGTACCAGTACCGGTATGTCTTTAATCCAAGTAAACTTTTGATAGTAATTTGGTACATGTACATGTATGTACATGTACATGTACATGTACTTTATTTTTGGGATACATGTGTACATGTAGATGCAAATGCTTTCATGTCTAAACCAAATGGAAATTCTACACGATTTTGTCTCTTGGATGTCAATTATAGGATTCAATGGTCCTAAAACAGAACATAAACCTGCATGTCAAATGTATGGCCTCTCGATCTGTGCACAAATAGCCCCTGACTGATTACAAAAAGAGAATTTGGGGGAGACCACAGTGATTCCCGAAAATCCCCCGCTGCTCATGCAAACATGCCACTATTTTGTGCATAGAACCAGTATGCACACGCAGTACCTCCACTGGAGCTCTTGACAGTGGAAAAAACCACCATCTTCTGTTCACACACGGAGTCTACATGTATATACTGAGCCAGAGTCACTTGTAGCTGGGGGCCTAGAAAATCTCCTTATTTTATGTCAAAGTCAGAGATGAAACCGATGTTTGAAAGCAAACTACAGTACATGTATTTATATCAATATAACAATCAACATTTAGAAAGACTACCATAAATAAACAGATGAAATGTGAGGCATTCTGGCAAAGTGAGACGGAACTGGGGAAAAATGCAAACAAAAATTAGATTTGATTTTGATTTTTAGATTTACTGATACTTGTAATCTTTGATTCATGTCTTCTATGTATGTATGTATGTACATTGTATTTTAAAGTGGATATAAATATCATGAAATAAAAGTGTTTTTAAAGAAAAACAATTGGCATCTTTTGTATTTACAAATGTACGACTATAAAACTGTTGAAATTTAAAGGCCTTTTTCTCAGTACATTGTATTTTACTTTTTTGACATGTCGATAAATGCAAACTTTAAAGGGAATGTACATGTACAACATTTGCTTTTGCTGCAATTTTCAGAAATAAATGGGTTTGGAGGATTAGTATGTTATAGCAAATATTGTTAAAATGACTTGTTTCACGTTTTGGGCTTGTACATGTTGGAAAAACCAAGAAAACCAATCAAGTTCTTGTAGTCCGGTTCCCCGACCCCACTTAAGATGAAACGGAGCAATTTATAGACTTTTTGGAATTGTAAAGTCAGAGAATCAGTCTAGCAAGCTTGTACCCCTTCACAGGTGTGCAATCAATTGCAAAGAAAACAATGAATAACTAATTATGAAAAATAAGAAGCAGGTTTTGAAAAAAAAACAGTTTATTCCAACGCTGGTCGGCCGACCAGCGTTGGAAAAATACCATTTTTCTTGAGAATGATAGCACACCAGGAGCCACGATTTTACAGGATGCTTTAGACTGTCATTCCCTAACAATCCAGTAAGGTATTTCATGATAATTTGATCATTTCGTTTTGTGATGTTTGCAAATGTTGTATCTTCCCTTTAAACAGTCATAATTGTCATCGGAATGTCCAATTGAAGTGCAACAAGCACAATAGTAAGGAGTATTCATTATCTTTCCTAATACCTACAAACCCTCATTTCGACCTCTGCCCAGTTCTGTCTCATTTCGTCAGAACGCCTCACAAATGAGCAAAAATCCATTGCACAGGACAAAAGCCCATCACCTATTTTTTTTTTTTTTTCATGCAACAAATAAAGCAAAAAATAGATACCATACCTCAAGAGTTTGGAGGGCTTTTTTCTGCGGCGCTGTTGCAGTCTCAAGCAGTGCAAGAATGCATCTTGAAATAAACTGATGACAAGCAAAGCATGCACATGCATAAAAGGGGGAAAATGAAAAGAAAAAAAAGAAAGAAAAATGATCAAAATAGCAGAAAGTGGCTTGAGCAAAACATGCACGCTTAAAGGGAATGTACATCATTGGCTTTTGCTGTAATTTTCAGAAATGAACTATTTGAGGGGTTAGTATAATAGATCAAATATTGTTTAACTGACATGTTTGAAGTTTTGTGTTCAAAAATGCTGGAAAAACCAAGAAAAACACAACTGTTTATGTAGTCTGGTTCCCTGACTCCACTAAAGATACATGTAAAATGGATCAATTATACATGTAGATGTCGGAAAATTGTAAGATAAGGGAACTTGTAACCAATACATGTAGCAAACAAAATTTAGACTGAAAAAATTGTAAATTTGGAGCAGTAGTTGAAAAATAGTTAGGTTTTTCCAACGGTGGTCAGCCGACCACCGTTGGAAATGTATACAAAAATAGCATTTTCTTGAAAATGACTTGACACCAGGTGCCATAACTTTACAGGATGCTTTAGACTGTCATTTACCAACATCCTACATGTAGTAAAGTATTTCGTTAAAACTTGGTAGTTTTATTTTTCGATGTTTGCAAATGTTGTATATTCCCTTTAAGTGAGTGTAACTGAAGTGTAATTAAATCTGAATATTTGAAAATAAAGGTTACAGGCCCTAAATATAAATTATATACAATGTAAGGGGAAACCAAAACTTTTTGAGTTTAGATGAACAAAAAACTTACAGAAGTGGGATTTACTCATGCACTTCTTAGACAAAGATAATTTTGAGATTATAAACATCAGTTGATAAGGCACAAGACATTCTTATAGTGGGTACATGTAGTTCGCATCAGATGGTACAGCCTTTGGGGTTTTCGCGTAAGTCTGATGCCTCATAGGTCCGACGCCTCACAAGTCTGACAAAATCTCATCCCAAAAGCAAGTAAAGGCCCATACATGTATATGTAATTCCGATTTCCGACACCTCGGGGCCGACGCCCCATAGGTCTGACGACCCATTTGTCCGACAACTCATGGGTCCGACGCTTCATTAGTTGGACAGTTAAATTTACTTTTTTTCCAGTCCATTGAGTCCGACACCTCATAACTCCAATGCCTTGTTAGTCTGATAGCCATTATAATAAAATACTAACATCGCGTAAAATGTCACAAATATTAGTGCTATTATGTACAGTTACAACTATACATACTACAAAATGTAGTCAGCAAAGTCCAACCCCACTTCTGGTTTTTAACGCGGAGGTTCATTGTTAGAAATACAAAGTCATTTTCAATTTGCCACCCCCCCCCCCCCATCACGTCTTGACTATATTTGCTATTTTGACAACTGAATCTGGTACAGCCAATGATAGCCCCATAAATGTGGCCAATTTAAGGCCACACTTGGAATATTTACATACCCGAAAATGTAGACCCGTGAACGTGGCTTGTAAACTACGCCACGCTCTTGAACATGTTCGAACCAAGCGAAATCGCCCTTCCGTGACAAAGACTGAACATTGCCTTACCGTGTGATAAGTATTCACACATCAAGCTTTCTTGAACATGTTGAAATCTGCTTTTACGCCAAATCTGGCATTTAAACGATATTCGAGGTAAAATCTGGCAAGATCTCGACGTCCTGCAACCTCCTCCTGATGCATGTGATATACCACGTGATAAATGCTGCAGATAATTTGGTATCGCACTCCTGATGTCCGGATCATAAGTGCGATTCCAAATATTAGCTGCGTTTATCACGTGGTCTCGTTATTGGCCAATCAGACGCCGCCTATCATATGCGCCACATGAAGCAGACGGGTAGCTCGGAGGGCTCTGACAATTTTGCACGCAAATGACCCTGGGTACTCGTCCAGGGTCATTTGTCAGGGTCACTTGTCAGGTTAAAATCTAATTTCTACACGTTCGTATGGGTCTTCATTGATGGCAAATTTCGTCAAAATGACTCATCCTGAACACGCAGACAGGCAAATTTAGATTTCTAGGCGAGTACTCAACATCCATACAAAATTATGTATGGCGGATCGATTTCGCTAGGTTCGAAAATACACAACAGCGTGGCGTTGTATACAACGCCACGTTCACGGGTCTACCGAAAATGTAGAACTTTGTCAAGTTTTGATTTTCATATTTACACTTTGTAGTTTATTTATGCTTGGAAGCACACTCACCCTCAGAGTCTTACAGCGATAGAAAAGAAATTCGCCATTTTTCAGACGTCTATTTTTCGTGTAATTTCGTGTTGGAAGTTAGATACGCAAACGTGCGCAAACGAACCTGGGAATTACACAAAAAATAGACGTCTGAAAAATGTCAAACTTCTTCGGGAAAGAATGTTGCAACCTGACGCTGCTTTTTTATTCATACATATGTATATCATCTAAATGAAGGTCAATCAAATGTTGCAAACATGATGATTAAATTAAGACATGAATCTGGGACTGAGAAACATTTCCACTTTTGTAATGTTCGGAAATACCGGTACTTAGACAATTTTCTTGACTCTCCATAGACTTTGTACATGTACACAACGACAACTGCTGAAGTAGCGTCAGGTTGCAACGTTCTTTCCCTTCTTTGGACTACAACTTACGTCTAACCATGGCCTACGTGAACAAACTACACAGGCTAAACACAGTACACACAGTACATGTACAGTCGTTTTTCTAGTTCCGGATAGCAAACATCATTCACTTATTCAGGCTGCTTTCGGCTCAACTACTCCGCGAATTCAAGTGACATTGCGCTTTGGTCATGTTGGTTAAAAACTTTACCTAAGTTGAGTGATGGAGATACTACAAAATAATTTTCCAAATTTAAGCTCTTTCTATTTAGACTTTACGACGTCAAAAGTACCGATGCCACTTTAACTTTTCTAGTGCCTTACATATCCATGCATAGTGACAGATGGCTGTGCGGCGCGGCGTACGCGTAGGCCGGCCTAAGCTACATCGGGGGTCAGACAAGTCGACCGTTGAGACAACTCGACTCGGGACAAGTCGCCCGTTGAGACAACTCGACCGTTGAGAAAACTCGACCGTATGTGCGATAAATGGAAAGACAAGTCGACCGTTGAGACAAGTCGCCTCGCATGTTTTTGGGCCTAGTTTTGGGGATAGTACCGGGGATTTTGACGGCGGCTGATCGCCGTTTGGGAGTTATGACACGTAACAGAGCAGAGCCGATATAGCGCAGCGTGATTGTCCGTGCACATCGTTCGTTTTTGCCGGGCCTGTGCGCGCATCTCCGGTCAACCGCGTGGCCGTACCGTGCACGTGCCGTGCACGTTAGCTGTCTCAACGGTCGAGTTGTCCCGAGTCGAGTTGTCTCAACGGTCGACTTGTCTCAACGGTCGAGTTGTCTCAACGGTCGACTTGTCCCGAGTCGAGTTGTCTCAACGGTCGACTTGTCTGACATTCGCTACATCATTGTGCGTCAACTATGCAGGTCATCGCATCTTCCAGTCAATTTTGGTGAACACATCACATTAATTACCTGATTTGACGCCGATCTCGAAGAATATCAATTCTGTTTTGATTCTGACGTTGATATGTATCCGATTCCGCTGCAATTCAATCCAATTTCATTAAAATCTGCTCAGCGTTTCATCACAGTCTCGAAGAAGAGGGGGAGTGGGACATTATTATAACATGTGTGGGTCGAAGTTGCCCATTCGCGAACCGTGGCCCTACATTTGGCCTGGTTTAGAATGCCTCCCAATTAATTTATTCAAAAAGGTGCAGTTGTGACTGAATTTTGATCGCAGTGCACAACTTGATATTTTTTTTAGAGAAGGGCGTACTTTTTTTCTTACTTTCTACGGTTCTCATATTTTGTTTGCCTCTCAAGAAGTGTCGGTTGGTCGAAAAAATATAAATAAATAAAACTGACCCGCATATTATAAATGATGGCAACTGCGTACGTCTCACGTTTTGTTTATTGCAACATGGAGGAAGGAATTAATTCCTTCCTCCATGATTGCAATGAGCGTCGCGGGTAGGCGTCGCGAGAGGGGGGAGGGGCGTTAGGCCCCCTCCCCTGGAAAAGCAAGCAAAGAGAGAGAGAGAGGGGGGAGGGGCAAGAAAGAAAAAAACGAGGCGCAAAGTCATATTGCTGTTAATTAAATGGCTTGGGGATGTATACATGCATGTCCCCGCCCACCCTCGAAAAATGATAAATCGAGAATGCAGGGAACATGCAGGAATTGTGCTTTGCCCCCCTCTAGAAAAAAAGCCTTGCGACGCCCATGGTAATGAATGTATCATGAATTGATATCAATGAATAAAGTAATAAAACCATATTGGGCAAGATTTACTTGTTTTAATTATATCTGCATCAAGCAGCCCACTGACGTCAGACATGACATACCAGTATGAGAGGCACTATCGTCTTATCTTCTGGGATCCGAACTTGGCGTAAGAATCTGGTTTTCCTTTTTTAATAGTTTTAAAATAACACAAGTCTGATTGCCTGAATTTTGTATTCATTTTTTCCCAGTTCTACTTTTGTTTTGTGTTGTTAATGGTGTTTCAGACATGGTCGGCGGTTATAAAAATTGTTTTCTTGGTTGGGGCCTTAAATAGGGACGACCGGAAATAGGAACCAAAAAAATAAAAAGGATGCGTTAATAATGGGCCCAGTCCAAAAATGTTGCATTTTTTCACTTTCAGCGTCAAAACACTCAGTTGGCGATACTGACCTTTTTGCGTTGCACGGTAAGGTCCTATTCGACAGGATTCAAAACCTGTTTGCATAGTAGGCCCTTAAGGTACGTAGTAGCCTACCGATCATAAGAAACCTAGCTCATAATGTATTCATTATGTCTTTTATTGTGTTTTCTGTAATTTTTGTCGTTGTTATAATCATGTTTTTATGTAATCCAGGGCCCCCAGGGAGAACAGTTCATTGACAACTGATGGGGCTTTCCTGGTAAAATAACACGAAATAAATAAATAGATAAATAAATAAGATGGGAATGGTAACAATTACCCTGTGCAATTAGAGGTCCACCCGATAGTCCGAAGGTTCGATTGTCCGAAAAAAATTTAGTCCGAAGGTTCGATAGTCGATCCGAATGCACAAAATTTCCATAAGAGGTGGTTCTTTAGTCCGAAAATGAAATAAGGTTCGTTAATCTGAACATTTGATGCAATAATCCGAAGGTTCATTAGTCCGAAGGTTCATTAGTCCGAAACCAAAATAAGGTTCACTAGTCCAAATCTTCACTATTCCGAATTGAATATAAGGTCCTATAGTCCGAATCGACAATTAGTTCCGATAGTCAAAATCAACACGTGCGGTCCTGTTGTCAATTCGGACTATGGCACGTCCATTCGGATTATCGAACCGTTAGTTCGGATTATCGGACCTTATTGTCTATTCGGACTATCGAACCTTCGGACTATTTAATTTTCTTCTGTTTTCGGACTAATGGGCCCTTCGGACTATCGAACCTTCGGAATCACGAACCTTCGGACTATCGGGTTGTAACCATGCAATTAATCCATGAAATGGTTTCGGTCGAAAGAAAACAATAATTGAAGAGTGGTTTTAAAAGTGTGCGAACGAAATCCAGTCATAGTGGGACAAATTTGATTTCGATTATTATTATACCCGTACCCCATGCACCTCCAATAGGCCTTTATCATGCTGCCACCATTTCAGTCATGTTCCTAACCAATATATTGCAATAACAGTACGAAATGATAACGTTTTTTAGCAAAAATGAGGCATAACATTTTCCTTCAAGCCTCGCTTTGGTTACGTTTATTTGATTGGGAAAATCCGGATGGCCACAATATGATAATAGATAATGGCCTTTCCAGTGGTTGATTTGCCGTCAGGCTATACTGTAATGGTGGCCGTGGGAGGGCGGTATACAGTTTTAATTGTTACGACTGCGTACTATGTGCTATTTCCATTTTCCTTTCGATTTGTAAGTCCTTCTCAAGGGCATTTTAACAATACCAAACCCCGGATGGACAAATGGTTATGTTCAGTAATCTATGTTATACAGTATAGGCCCTATTTCAATTAATGTCATACAAGTTCTTTGCTAGGAGTACAGAGCTTGTCATTGACTTTCGTAAAAAGAAGAGTGAGCCTAGTAACATTGTGATCAACAGCTGTGTTAAAAGGGTTCATAGGCCTACATATAAATATCTTGGCGTTATGTTCGATGATGAACTTGATTGGAGCGATCAATTGGATTGCGTAATGAAAAAAATTAACTCACGCATGTAAAAACTCACTTTCCGTAAAATGAATGCTTTTAAGGTCAAAAAGGAAATTCTTGTCACATTCTATTGTTCAGGGATCTGTGGGGTATGGAGTTAATGTTTGACGGGATGGGGTGGGAATGCTTTGAAAAAGGATAACGGTATGATTGATCGGCTAGTGAGGAAAATATGACGGGGTTGTGCTTGCAGTCGGTGGACTCTCTCTGTACCGGGAGCGAGTGATTGGTATTTGGACGACAGAAGCCACCCACTGTGCGCTGAGCTTGCAGGTCATATTATTTCTAGAAGTGGAAGAATGAGACTGCCGGCTGCTCGCACCAATCGCCATCTTCACTCTTTTGTCCCAATAGGAATAAAATTCTTCAACGTCATTTTTAAAATATGAATTTTGTTTTGGATGGCTAGACAGTTGGTGACAGGTATAGGCTTCTCCTTCCAGTGTTGGAGTACTCGTACTCGAACTCGAACTCGAGTACAACTCGAGTCCGTACTCGATCGTAAGTGCTCGAAAAAAACAAGTACTCGGCACGTACTCGATCATACTGTAAGTACTCGAGAAAAAAAAACAAGTACTCGGCACGTACTCGTAATTTTGTACTCGGACTCGTCCCTTAACTCGACAAATTGTACTTGGTGAACTCGATCCCAGTCGCGCAGTACTCGAAAGAAAATTCGGATTTTTCGATACTAAAGTTTGACCCAAAATTTCACAGAGTGAATATGAAAATGATGAAAGTATTGCGCTGTATTCTTTATCGACTCTAAATCGAGTGTTCGTGAATGGGTATTTTTTACTGTCCTATTCCTACTGAATACTACAAGAATACCAGCGAAATAAATCGCAACCTTCTTTCCATGGGCTTCATGTGCGTTCATCACACGAGGCATTTTCTAACTAACAAGGCGCGGAAAGATCGTATCCGTGGGGAAGAGGTTGTGCCAAGGGCGTCACGAGGGGGGCAAGGGGGCGCTTGCCCCCCCCCCCGGAAAAGCAAAAAAAAAAAAAGAAGAAAAAAAAATAGGAAAAGAAAAGAAAAGAAAAAGAGGCGCGAAGTCATAGTGGTGTAAAATGTAATGAGTTGGGGGGGGGCAAAATGTCCCTGCCCCCCTCTAAAACCGATAAATCAAGAATTTGTTGAAAAATACAAGAATTTTTTGGGAAAAATATGTTTTGCCCCCCTCTAGAAAAAATCCTGGCTACGCCCATGGTCCTAGGCCCAAGCTGCAGGGCGGGGTACGAGCGAAGAGCTATGCCAATCAGTATCATGAACAGCTCCCCTAGTGTAATGCGGTGCATGTCCTGGTGAAATGTTGTCTACATTTTAATAGTCGGGTTTTTTTTTTTGGAAATTAAGGATGAAAACTTCCAGTTCACGAAAATAATGTTTGATAACAGGCTGACGAAGGACTGTTGGGAACAGCGAACGGAATATGCATATAGGCCTGATATACAATGTTAACAAACAAATCCTAAAAAAAAAATCCTTTTTTTTTCAAAGACGTCCGTACGATTTTCAAATAGTAGTAGGGGAGTTGAGAATCTGTGTCTGTCCAAGTACAAAGAGTAGAAGTCAGGCGCGGAACTCCTGAGAAAGGTTTGAACACCCCCCCCCCCCCCCCGCCAACCCCTCACCCACGTTCTGACGCACATAATAATGTACATCTATAACAATTATAATAATGATAAGGTCCGTTTGTCCGCAACAATCGGATATGAACATCTCTAACGGGCCTGACCCTTTCCCCCGCCAAAATTCCAGGATCCGCCCCTGCACGCCTGATGTCTTTTTCAAAAAAGGCCTGCATAATAATAGTTTCCATTGTTGCGTAATGAGAAGCACGTTTAGCACACGTAGGCCTACGACTAGCGAGGCTGCCGTATACAATTTTCAAAAGAAATGAAAACAGTGGGCTCATTATTGCCCGAAATGTCAACTTCTCTTCGTCCATGGAGCCCAAACAGATGGACCCACCAATGCTCCACGTTTCTCAGCCTATTATTTTTGAGAATAACTCTAAGAAAGCCGAATGGCCCAGTGGTTAGATTCGTCGTCCACGCATCGCGCGGGGCACGGGTTCGAATCCCGTCGGTGTCTTTTTGGTTTTAATCGCATTCGTTCAGTCATTGTATAAGATGTTTAATTTCCCGTCGTAAAATACCAACAGTACCTTAGCTTAATCGGTAAGCACTGCTGCTAATACTGTCCGCGAGTTCCAGGTTGGCGCCTTCGTACAGGTTCAGGGCATGTGGTCCACTCGGAGGATCAGGGCTTAGGGTGCCGCCCTGTTCCTCCCTTAGCTCTTTGCTTTTACATGGTGCCTGGCCCTCCGGGGTTATATGGATGGATAGGGAAGGAAGTGTGTATTGGTCGGGGACACCGAGACCCCGGAAGAGAACTAAGGGATTGGCTGGGGCATTGTTATGGCTCAGACCAATCCCTGAAAGCTTGACTAGCACATAACTTTTTGATTTTTTTTTATCCTCTATCTTTTATACTTTGGTTTAGTTTGATATTTGCATCTGCTCGTCAGATGTACGGTAGTTTTGAAAACGAAACAGAGGTCTATATCATGAATCAAGGAATCATAATTGACTATAATTAAAACGGAGTTTCGTTCGATCAATATGACTACCATTCAATGGCGCAATTTCCAATTAACGTAAAAACGCCATATTATACCTGGGAAAAATAAAGACGTACATTGTAATATAAACATTATTTACATCTTCCAAATAACGTTTCTTCAATTGTGAACATTCCCAACAAATATAGTAATTCGCAAAATAGGGGAACAAAACGCAAGATAACAAAGTCCATCACCCTTAAAACTGGAAATTCAAAATGAAAAACAAAGTACAATAATGTACATTAAGGATTGAATTGTAAAAAAATCCATTGCATGGGGCTTTTACTGACTTGCTTTTTTTACAGTCAGTAACATGCAGGCGCAGATCCTGAGGAATTTTTTTTTTCGAACCCCTCCACTGCTCTGACACAAAAAGTAAAGCTATTCTACAGCGGTTATTAACGCTAGGCCTATATCACAGAATATGCATATACAAAGCTGCCGATGTCCGTATTTTTGTGCAAAGCGGACATTATTACCAGTAAACAGTTTAAAAGCGTGTCAGAGCGGGGGGTGTTTCGCATTTTTTTTCACGGATTTCTATGAATTTTTTTTTTGGACAGAATTGGGCATGGGCATCGCGAGGGGACAAGGAGGGGGGCGCTTGCCCCCCCCCCCCCCGAAAAGTTAAAAAAAAAAAAAAAAAAAAAAAAAAGAGAAAAAAAGGCGCGAAGTCATAGTGGTGTAAATTTAATGAGTTCGGGGTGCAAAATGTCCCTGCCACCCTCTTTAATTAATAAATCGAGAATTTGTTGAGAAAGACAAGAATTTTTTGGGAAATTTTTTTGCCCTCCTCTAGAAAAAGTCCTGAAAGGGAGGGACCCCCCCCTCCTCCCCCAGATCCGCGCCTGCACCTCCTCGATCGTTTTGCGCAACACATGATCAAGTAGTGTGCAATAACACCTGGCCTCCGAAAATCAAAAGGTGGTAAGGGGGGGGGGGGGGGGGAGAAACGCACTATACTTTCAATGGGGGCGCTGTTCAAATCCGACGATTATTAACACTAGGGCTATATCACAGAATATGCATACACCCCTAACAAAGCTGCCGATGTCCGTATTTTTGTGGAAAGCGAACATTGTTACTAGTAAACAGTTTTTACGTGTCGGAGCGGGGGGGGGGGGTATTTCGATTTTTTTTCATGGATTTCGATTTTTTTTTTTTTTTGGACCGAGCTGGGGGACCCCCCCCCCCCCGGATCCGCGCCTGCACCTCCTCGATCGTTTTGCGCAACACAGGATCGAGTTGGTGTGCAATGACATCGGGGATAACCCTGCATTTCTTCAGAAGCTTTCGGCAGCAGCACGCGCCTTCCGCCGCCGCGTTCCCGTCTTCTGCAAGGCTACCCCCCTTGCAATTTTTGTCAATTTTGGTCAAAAAATGAAATTGCTCCAAACTTCCTGGAAAGACTCCTAAGGGACCCTCGAACATATTCCAACTCGATTCAGGGACAGATATATCATTAAAAAGAAATTCATATTTTAGCCAATTTTTATGAAAACTGTAATTTTTTTATGAAAACCTTTCGCAATTTTTGTCAATTTTCGTCAAAAAAAAAAGGAAATTGCTCCAAACTTCCTGGAAAGACTTCTAAGGGCCCCTGGAACACATTCCATTGCGATTTAGGGACAGATATATCATTAAAAAGAAATTCATATTTTAGCCAAATTTTATGAAAAATGTAATGTTTGTCAATTTTGGTCAAAAAATGAAAATGCTCCAAACTTCCTGAGCTGGTCTCAATTAACCACACATTTCTCCATAGTCAAGCCACCAGACTATTGACACTGAATGAAGAGGTCAGTCTTTTCAAATAGTTGGACCATTGTTGGACATGTACCAGTCTAGTATTTAGGGACAGAAAACGAAATTCATATTTTAGCCAAATTTTATGAAAAATGTACGGCTAACCCCTTGCAATTTTTGTCAATTTTCGTCAAAAAAATGAAATTACTCCAAACTTCCTGGAAAGACTCCTAAGGGACCCTGGAACATATTCCAACTCGATTTAGGGACAGATATATCATTAAAAAGAAATTCTTATTTACCCATTATTATGAAAAATCCCTGCCCCCCCCCCGCTCTTTAACTGATAAATCGAGAATTTGTAGAGAAATACAAGAATATTTTGGGAATTTTTTTTTTGCCCCCCCCCCCTCTAGAAAAGGTCCTGGCGACGCCCATGGGTTGTGCACATCACTCTTTGTTGGAAACGCGTCACATTCTCTGGCGCATGGCGGCGAGTTCGATCCAGACGTAGACATGTCTTCTTCGTCAGAAATGATATCTTGGGGGTTTAGAGATCACAAGGAATATTTCGCTAACGGAAGGAAGCAGCACAGCGCAGTATGCAAGTCATGTGGGCTGGGGATGTCGGAGAAGTCTGAAACAACTTTACCAAGCAAAAACAACACTTTTTAACAACACTTTTTAAATGGATTTCTATGGGATTTTTGTGGGTTTTTTTCAGATCTGTTTTTTTTTTACTCCCCCCCCCCCGATCCGCGCCTGATTGTAATTTCTTCATCTGGATATTTATAAAGTTTTCGTATGTCTTATGTCTACAAACTGAGCCAGTGGGACCTAGGCACGCGTTTGTTCCTACTCCATGATATTTTGCACCAGCACAAAGTAACTGTATATACACAGCAAGCCAAGAACAAGTGGTACAGGTCTTATTGCTCTGAAAGCCTGCTGGCACCAAGGGCGTCCATCACTTCTCAAAATAAGAAATAAGACCTACCGATATATCAGTTAGGCTCCTAAATATTGTATAACGGTTGGAGAATATAGTGATACTATAGTCTAAGTGGATGCAATCGCGTAAGAATAATAACGTTATAATGTACACATTTTGCAGATTCGCTGACAGTATGTTTCCATTGTGTTTTTACAAACTGACTTTTTCACTGCATCTTTTTGCCGATTGTGTGCGGAGACATGTAAAATAAATTTCGTGGATTAAAAAAGGCCGGATTATTTTGACCATCTCTCAGCCGGGGGGGGGGCGGATTCCGGCCCCCCCCCCAAGATCTCGGCCATGGAGTGACGAAAAATTTTGAAACTCGGTACATACATAGAGCAACTCTTTCTAAAAATACCCAAGAAATTTCATGACTATAGGTCAAAGGGTTTTGGAATTATGGGTAATTAATTATTCATATGTACGAATGGCAATTCTGCTCAGTGTACACGACGTATGGGAAAATTAAGTTTTCTGGGCGCGTAGCGCCGGAACATTTTGTGCTACGCGGCAACCCGTGGTCCGATTTTTATGTTTTTGGTATCAAAAGATGCGCAAAGCTCGAGGCTAAAAAGTCATAACAGCTCGGGTCGAAAATGTTGGGGGGGGGGGCAGATTCCGCCCCCGGCCCTTTTAGGGTTAATACATGCAAGTTTCTGAAAAACTGTGGTGAATGAAAAAAGTTATGTGCTGACCAAGCATTCAGGTGCACGGACTTTCAACTCAATGAGCCCCTTCAATAAACCAAACACCCACAGTCGACATACGCAACGCCCTCTAGTGTTCACACGGAACACTTCACGGTAAGACGAATTAAGGAAAACGCCCATTCGTAAACGGAAATTTATTCTTACTCGGGCAGCCGTCAGCCGTCGGTCGGCTGACGTCAGACTTGGATACTTGTAAGGATAACTCTCATAATAGAACAAATAAGGTTTATTAGTTGACAACCGAATATTTCCATACAACTCCTCCATTAATTGGAGATTAAAGGTACACAGATTGCTTCATTTGCGATCTTTTCACAACTCTCTATATCATATATATTTTTCCCACTGGAAATTCAACAGCGGTACTACATTTTCTACGCGGGTGTCCCTACAAACATCGTTCAGAATGTGCGACAGAATACATGGAACCCGTGAACCTGGCTGTGACACTGACTGACCTCTGAGTCATCCCCCCTCTGCGCGTATCTTCCTCAAACGTGGCATAAGTGACATCGGCATACAGTTCCAGAACCACTAAATTCAGGGTTTGGATTGAGGCGATTGTCTTCCAAACTTCAAGAATGGGTCTTTGTAAATGCCCCAAGAGAAAAGTCACCAACTTGTTTTGTTTTGAGCACCGTGTGAATGTTTGCGAGCATTGTTTAGTCGCAAATCATCCGAAGGCAAGTATCAACATGATCAAATTTCTTTCCCATTCAAACTGTGCACAATTTTGTAATACAGGATACAGGCCAAGGCCTACATTCTTTCCAAATGAAGTCTTTGGAAAGAACATACAGATTTGAATGTAGTATCAGACGCCACTTCTTAGGTTGTGTACAAAAGTCTATGGAGTGTCGAATGCATTTTCTTTATTTTAATTTTTATTTTAATTTTATTTTATTGTAATCTTTAACGAGGGTAGGGCTAATTCGCACCATAAATGTGGCCAATTTACTGGACTACCTCCGTAAATAAAGGCCACACTTGGAATATGTACCCGAAAATGTAGAACTTTGTCAAGTTTTTATTTTCACATTTAGCAATAACACCAATTGGCACCAGACTAATGACAATGAATGAAGAAGTCAGTCTTGTCAAGCAGTTGGACCATGGATGAACATGTAGCAGTCTAGTCTTTGGCCTCATTTTGAAATCACTTGACTTCCCTCTCTTGTGCAAGCCACTGCCAAATATTGAAGAAATGTCTCCTTTAAAAATTGAATTGAGTCTTCAAACTTGGATGGTAAAATACTGAGGAACTTTTCTTTGCCCAACGACAGTTTTGAAGAAATTTGCTGATTAAAGAGTGAGTGAAATTGGCCTGATCTTCTTTTGCATCGTTTTGAGCTACAGGCTACTTTTGTTGCAAATTGTTGAGAAGTCTTAAGAATGCCCATTATAAGCCTGATAAATCTTGTCCTTGCAGTGCATCGTCAAGTCTTACCTACAGTGGCTACAAGACAGCGACTATGACATCAGATGCAGCCTGTGCCTCAAAGAACTTGCCGATGGAGATGTTGTAAGGTTACTGTGCTACGGTAAGCTGACACACACATAACAATAGACCAGTTGCCCATTGTGACCCTGTTATGCCCAAACTATGGCATCGTCCACAGTAGCGATCATCCCAACCATAGAACTTTAGGAATTCTTTAAGTATTATTATTATTCATCATTTCTGGTAATGAAACCAAGGATTCCTCAAGATCGCCCTAGGCACTGTAAGCTCGCAAGCCTGAAAAAAAAAACGGTAGAGAGAAGACAATGAGAAGAAATTACAGCTTTAGAGGTGGGAAGAAAACCCCAGACGAATGTTCTGGGGAAAACCCACGGAATCAGGTAGGGACTGAAAACCCAATCCACATGTTGGCCCAGGCGGGATTTGAACCCGGGTCACAGCGGTGGAAGGAGAGGAAAGTACCGCTACGCCAACCTGACTCCCCTATTGTTGGTACTGTCCCAATAGTGTTGGGACAGTACCAATGGGACTGTCCCTGATAGTTTGAACCATAATACACAGTTGGGCCTTAAAGTTTGAGACTGCCAAGCATAACATATCGCTTATCAATTTTTTTTTAGCTAAGCAAAAATTGGATGGAAAACCAATCACAGGCAAGGTTAATTGCATTGCAGTTCTGCTGGTACAATGTAACTATGCAAATTTTACTATGCAAATATTTCATGTACTTACGCAAAAAAAAAATCTGCTTCCAGTTTCCCTACCTACCCTATTCTGACACCCCCTATCCTAATTTTTTTATGGAAAAAACACCCAAAACCATCAATTTCTACCTTTTACCCTTGACTACACACAGAGGCCTCCATATGATTGCACACAGACAAATTTGGCCAAAAAAATGCCATGTAATCGGAAGCAGAACTATTTTTTTGGTTGGCCTTAGCATATTATCAGTGCTTATCAGCTCTATGAAAGTGGCCCTAAGTGGTTCAGTGGCAATGCTTTCATTTTTAGAGTTGGGTTGGTACACAGGTTGTATGCACTGGCAGGTTGCGCTCATGATTTTCGGCTAAATCTTGCGGTTGTTGGTTCGAGCCCAGCCTGGATTAGTGGTGCGGGTTTCATTGGGACAGAAACTTTGTCACTCGTTGCTTTCGCCCACCCAGGAGTGAATGGGTACCTGTGAGGGTAGAGATGGTTATGTGTTTTTCAACAATATGTTTGTAAATTTTGTCCTCAATATTTTATTCATCTTTTCCCTTCTGCAGATGTGTTCCATTGGGCCTGTCTAGACGAATACGCCCGCCAACTTCCCCCGCACACGGCTCCAGCAGGCTACACGTGCCCCTCCTGCAATAATGGTATCTTCCCCCCGAGCAACATGGTATCTCCCGTCGCCGGGGTCCTCCGCGAGACCCTGTCCAGAGTCAACTGGGCGAGGACAGGCTTGGGGCTTTGTCTTGTAAGTCGTTACTAAATTGACTGGCTGCCACTCACTGTTTGGTCTGTTCACTTTGATGTGACCAAAGCAGCTTTCCCACATTGAGCTATATTAAATTAACAGAGCGCTAACTCCTCATTCTTGCGTGCGGAGACTCTTTGAAGCCGTCCTGGGTGCAGACATTTTGAATTTATGTGCATGTTTGTAGAACATAACGAAATTAGATATATTGAATTTTGAAAATGTACTCTAAATGCAATGCGTAAGTAGAACGTACATGTACGCAAACAACTTCAGCGCGTCTGTGGGGAGTGTGGCCCTTGTGGTTAGGGTTTGTGATTCATGATCAGGGGTCATTGAATCAAAGTACTGGCCATATGTTGTGTTCTTGGGCAAGCCACTGTACCCCACTTGCCTCTCTCCACCTAGGAATATGAATGGGTACCAGCATTAGCAGGGGAATAGAGATATTCTCAGTACCGTAATTTTCGGAATATTAAGCCGCCGCTTATACGTTGAATTTGCCCATGAAAATGTTTACTGCAGCTTATACACGGGGCGGCATATACGCCGAGCCTTGAAGAATAAAAATGACATTCAAATGTGTATTTAATGTACTGGTATAAGAAAAGATCTGTTGCTGAAAGGACCGGACGGGCCAGCTGGCAGCAATTTCCGTTTCTTATTTTTCATCATCAATTTCCATATTTAATTGTAAGAGTATCGACTGCAAATGATCTGATATACATGTTACTTTTATGGCCCTTTTTATAGCTTTCGTAGTGTAACTGAAACTGGTTCAGAGCATTTTGACTAAAATTTGGAGGCCTCACAAAATTAAAACCGCTGTGGTTATTATCTTCATTTAGAGCAAGGTTTTTATTAATTAATTGATTGGTACCTCTCCGGCTAAATACAAGTGATCCAATGTGGGTGGTAAGCCATTCCAACCATCCCAAATCCAGTCGTGATTCCCTAATCCACTCACAATCTTCACCATGTTGTTCCCACACTCCACAGATCGATGAACCACAACAGCCTGCGCAGCAGCGTTTGCAAGAGCCCGTCGAGGAGCTGTACAAATCCGCGGAGAGCAGCTACAGTGACCCCACTCCATCGTCCAGCATGACCGAGGTGGACAGCGCTGCGTACAGGCCCGCTGCTACCACAGGGGTACAGGCCAGGACAACAAGTACTAATATTGTCAACATCGACAGCACAACGCCACTTCTAAAGCCGGAGACGTTGTCCAGTGGTAAGTGTCGGTTGGACAGATCCAAATTGCCACCAGTTTAGGTTCTTCTTGCCATGAGGTGATTTTCCCTTTTAAAAACCTGGGTTTGTTTTTATACCAAGATTTTCGATGTTTATCGTTGACTGAGCCCAGTGTGACATCATCTGGTTAATCCCTTAAAGGGGGTGGGGGCCGGATGCCCCTAAGATCTCAGCCATCGAGTGACGAAAAATTGTTAAACTTGGTACATGCATAGAACCACTTTTCATGAACATACCCAACAAATTTCATGACCATCCGCTCTGTTCACAAGTACCCCCTCACCGGCAAAGGAAGAACAGTTAAGGGTGACTGACCGACGCCATCTTGCCTGACTGCAATTCATTTGCCACGAAGCGCGGCCACTGCGTGTAAATAGAACAAATCCCCTGGTGTACGTGCGTCACACACAAGGAACGGTGTGCGTCAACCAGCGAAATGTCCCGCCCATGAGACGTCGTTGCTAGGTAAAAGGGCGCCCTCTTTTGGTAGGGCACGGAGCTCATAAGTCAAAGGGTTTGGGAATTATGGGAATTAATTTTGCATATGCACGAATGGTAATTCTGCTCTGTGTACACTACGTATATGGGAAAATTCAGTTCAGACAATTTTTCGCTGTGCGGCAACCCATGGTCCGATTATTATGTTTTTGGTGTCAAAAGCTGGAAATTAAGGCTGGAAGCTAAAAAGTCACACCAGCTTAGGTTGCGAAAAAAATTGTTTTGAGGCTATCACGGAAAAAGCCCCCCCCCCCCCCCCTTCCCGGCCCCTTTAGGGTTAAATGGTTGGGGTTTACAAACATTGTACATGTATTTCAATAAATTTAAAACAAAATCAACGGCAAAGACTTTGAATTGTTCTACAACAGACTATGGTTGATTGTTTCTTCACCAGGTCAGCTCCCAACAGCTCACAAGAGACAAGGGGGGACTCGGGATGATGAGATTGTGGACATTATCCAAGACCACGACGTAGACAAGTACAAGAGGAGGAGTGCTTTCCATTGGTTTGCAAGGTGGTTCAAGTAAGTCCAAACCTAGAGTTTGTGAAACCTTTTAATTTATGAGAATCGCTTACCAAATGGCACTATTTATAGCTATAGTCCATCATTTGCAGCTATCCACAAAGTAACTGGCGTAATTATTCTTGAAAAAACATACTTGGTTGAAAGATGGGACTAAACTCCCTGTGAAATTATTCTTTCTGGCAAGCTGTCATTTGAAGTAGTGAACGAAAGAGGCCTTTCTAACAATGCGTCTTAAGACACACCGTTTTTATTTATTTTTTTTAATCGGCGAAGCGCGCGCAAGCGTTGACACGACGCCCACGCGCGCGTGGACACTTTAATTCGTCGAATCTGTGTGCAATATTGCGTAGCTGCAATCGGCTCAGTGAAAACGTGTCTCGGACGCTGAATTCAGGCCCAATTCAAAACATGATTCAGCAACTTTTGATTTGAAATTGAGATCCTAGAATGCTGTTTTTCTCGGAATATACAGCTGAAGCTGAGCTGAAACTTCATCAGGTTAGTGGTTCAGTACCCTTCCTTAGATTTTGAGCACTTTTGTTGCTTCAAACGAACAAAATGCACACATTACAAATGATGGACTATACCTACACACAGAAGGGGTAGAAAAAGGAAGATAAGTATGGATGTTACGTTTGGATTGGGACCGATTATAATCAACGGGAAAACAGGATACAGGTAAGGAGTTCCATAGTGAGGCAGTGCGTGGGAAGAACCTGGATGAATATTTCCTAGAATTTGCTTTAGGAACAATGACTGTATGGGCTCCATGCACGAACAAGAGAGGGCGTTTTGTTAGTAATTCCGAGAACCCCGTGGACGGAACACAATGCGTTAACGTACTGGTTCACGTACGTATGGCGCAAAGTACGCACGACTTAATTCTGAATGTGTGCAAAGGCATCGCGGCTTAGTCTGAGCATCAGGCATCGTCGGCAATGCGTTCGAATGTCTCTCCAAGTGGTCTCCCCCAGCTCTCCCTTTTTGGCCGTTGAGGGGGTACTTGTCTATGGAGCCCATATGGAATATGGATGGAAAGCATGTAGTGCGCCCAAAGGGACGGTTAGAGTAATATATTTGCCAGTTATCCGGATGCATCTGTAATCCTCCAAACGAAGTGCATTCGGGAGGGAATAGCTTATTCCCAGAGACTCCCAATGGAGTGATTTGGAGGGTTCTCATGGGCTTCATGAGCAAATGTCACGAGCCACTGTGGCCCATCAGGCCAGCGTTTATCTCCGGTTTGAGTATAGCATGAAACGACTGAGAATATTACTATTCCCCCTGGATGGGATGCTAGTCCATCGCAGGTTGCTCCCACTAATGCCAGTACCCATATATACTCCTGGGTGGAGAGAGGCCAGTGGGGTTGAAGTGGCTTGTCCAAGGACACACCATATGACCAGCAGCTGGATTCAAACTCCTGACCCTCTGATCATGTGTAACGAACACTAACCACTAGGCCACACTCCCCCTCTCATGGGCTTATTAGGGGATTAAAACTTCCTCTACCCGAAACTACAATACCCTGTTTTAATGACAATGCCACGTGTTTGTGATCATTTCCAGGACGCGCACAGGGAAACGAAGCACAGATGCCAGCACGCCGATGCGACGCTACGCCATCCTCCTCATCCTCGGTGTGATTGCCTTCTTCACCATCGTTGTCATCATGACGCAGGCAGGCCGGGCCTCGGCCAATGCGGACCCATTCCTGGACCCCATGGCCAACCCCAACATCAGGGTGGGAAGGAAGATACTGGGGCTGGGTCACCTCCAGCTCGGCTCATAGTAAATCTAAAAGGACCACGGCTAAGGGAAATCAAACTGTTTAAGACCACTTTTTTTAAAATAGAATCTGTCAAAAATATTTCAAGGATCAAGCCAACTGACCCCAAAAAGCTTGGTGGTACAGTGGTTTGGACCTCTTCACCATAAAACATTTGATGTGGGTTCGAGTCCAACCGGAGCAAGCTTAGTTTTTTTCTTCCAAGTTCTTAGGTAGCACAAAGTATATAGTGCTTATAAATTAAGTTTATGAAGGACAAAATCATATCAAAGAATGCAACCTCAAATTGTTGGACCCAGTTGGCCGAAAGAGTTGATGCAGGCCCGAAATATTTTTCGACAAACTTTTTGTTCTCCACTTCCATGCCCAATATCTTTCTGTGGTCACTCCGGTACAAGTTAAATTTAAACCAACAACTTTCTAAATGAGAAATATTTAAACCTTTCAATTTTTTGGGTGTGATCTTGTGCCTGTCTGGGAAACGGATCCTCAATAGATTTTTTTAAGTGTTCTTTGTTTCTTTTTGACTTCAGGGTCTTCTGAAATTTCAAAAACTTTTTCTGTCTGGTTTGCTTCTTTTAGTCCCCCCCCCTCCTTTTTTATAAAATGTTAAAGAAAAAACACATAAAAAGTATGGTGAAGGACAAAGCCTTGTATTGAAAATAAAAGTTATTGTTAATAATCTGATAAATAACTTAAAACTAATCAGAAAGAAGTTATCTGTGGTTTTCCATTCACAAATGCTTTCTTCCCCTGCTTTGCTTGTGATGTTCATTCAGCGTCACTGCCATAGTGTTTAAGTTATTTGCCTCAGATTTGCTGAAACAGGATAGTGAGATAGCACATTGCTATGGAGACAACATCACTTGGTCTGTGTTTGCAAATTTAGTTGTATGTGTTTACTTCTTTTTTTTTTCAATACTTTTGTCAAAATAATTAACTGTGAGTTATTTGCGGCACTATGGCTAGCCTTGACCAAGCCTGTCAAGCCAAGCATTTTCCCTGAACTAACGGTCCGGCAGCTGTTATTATTTTACCCTACTTGTCACGGTACACGTACGCCGCGTGCAGCCCCCTGGCTAGCTCTGCTTTGCAAAGTTCAGGGAAAAAGCTTGGCTTGACAGACTTGGTCAAGGCTACGCTATGGCCAGTTTCTATGCAGCCACAACCGAGGGAATTTTTGAGGATGGTTAATACTTCTTAATTGTTGGAACTGTTTATTTTTGCCTTGAAGTTAGCCTGATGCGTATTTCCTGCTTGCTTCTGTACGATTTAAACAAAGACATTGTTGGAAATTGGGATGCTCAATGTTACAAACTTGTTAAACCATTCCCGATAGTTAACAGCGATATTCTAATCCATGAATGGTTAATGTAGGGAGTGAGGCCATGTTTCGCCAGTATATATTGTTATAACAAATTGTACATATAAAAAAAATAAAGTCATTGTAAATAAAATAAAATCACACAACTTCAAATGATACAGACAAAACATTGCGTGGTGGTGCTCATTTGTTTGTTTTCTAAGTTTTTAATCATGACTTTCCTTGATCAGCAAATATCTACATATGTATATAGTTTTACATTATGGGTGCACGAGTGTGTTTTGTATTGTGTATCTTCAACACGGGGTAGATTGAGAACGGTAGATCGCATCAGACTATTCCGTGAAGTTCCTGTACCGCGCCTCCCTGAACTGGATGAAGCCTGCCTCAATAGCGATCCGGACGAAGCACGCCAAGAAGTTCAACACTAAAAGAGAAAAATAAAAGTGGTACAGTAACTACAACAAAGGTAGAATGCACGTTGGAAAGGTGCTGTTGATGTTTGTACCACTAGTACTGCCATCAACCCAGTCAACGATGAAAGGCAGAACTTTTTATTTAATATGATTTTTTTTTTAAAGTGTAATTACTGGGGTATACAGGGTGAGTAAAAAAGAAAAGGAAACCAAAATGGCAGGACCAGTTTTTTAATGAAGTTTTGCCTGTAGCACTTTCAATATCTAGGATATGAAAGCCCAATCAATGAGCTTTCCTTTAGTACAAGAATCATCCAAATCACTCATGTACTTTTAAAGTTTTAAATTTTGACCGTGTTATAGTTCTGTCCACGGATCACAAAAAATGGGTAAGTGTTCTTTCAGCAAAACGAAATCAATTCACATGCATCCCAATTGGAGTTGTTTTCGTTTTGCTTAGTAAAGAACACTCATTTTGTGATCCGTGGACAGAACATTAAAACGGTGTTTGTGTTCAAAATTCCATAACAGGAAAATTACATGAGTGATTTAAATGATTCTTGTACTTAAGGAAAGCTTAATGACTGGGCTTTCATATCCTAAATTTTGAAAGTGCTACAGGCGAAACTTCAAAAATTGGTCCTGCCATTTGAGTTTCGTTTTTGGGTTTTTACGCACCCTGTATATTCGAATCCGGGCATGTGATCACTCGAAACTCACGAGGCCCCCTCTAATGGAGAAAACTGTGTGCACGCTATTGTACATGTATGTACAAATCAACTGCCCCGTGACAGATTATCCGAACGCACGCTAGCACAATGCTTCCGCCATTGACGGGGGCCTTCGTGGTAGAATTGATAGGGTGCTGGAATTGGTCTATACAGGAATTGGTCTTTTTTTTCTCGCTTTTCACTGAGTACAGTCGAACCCTGATAAGAAGAGCACTGTTAATACAACATCCTGCTTATAACAAGCAAAATATTAGGTCCCAAAGTCTTTGTTTTTTCTTTGTTTTCCATTACTGTTAATACAAGGTACCTGTTATAATAACGGTAATTTGTAAAGTCCCAAGGACCTTGTTATACAGGTTTTTCGACTGTACTGGGATATTGAGCAGCCTGGTTTGTATAAATAATGGGTTTTTAATCCGTCACTACAAATGAGTACCAAAACTCCATCGGATAAGAGCTTCCTCTTGCCACCCCTACCTAACGAAAACCACTCGCAACGGGCAGCTCTCCAGTGCTTTCCCGCCTGGGTGACGTAGACGAAGCCAAGCAGAGCCATGTAAAATGAGATTATGTGCATCACCTGCAAAGAAATATGCAATTGCAAAATATTAACCAAATCACAATTCCATTTAAATTTCTTCTGAATAATATATTTACATTGTTTAAGTAGACAAGATTGCTTACAATCTGGTCAAAGTTCGTGGTGTCCGATCCCTTGTTTGATTGCGACTGGTTATTAACATCAGGTTTCTGTACTGAGCATGCAAATTTAAGGCGAGTAGGCCAAACTTCACGGTGAATCATTTTTCTCCATCAGCCAAGCCATGATATCATAAACCTTCAGCAGAAATTTGAATTAACGGAGATTGGCGTGCTAGGGCAAAGTTTATCGTATGCTTTGCTCCTCAATCCCACCCCGCATCTCACCAACTATTTTCTTGCTTCTCCCCTTGGAACTTGGAATACCCGTGAGGCAAAGGTCCATAATCTTACCAGGACAGAGTCACTGAGGGTCTGAGTTGAGAGATGCGTCTTCTGCGTGATGGAGTAGGCTACGATGTCGTTGATGATCGTAGCAACGAGAAACAAGGCCAGAAATATCGAGACATAAACGAAGAGTTCCTTCTTGGATGTCTTCCGGAGGGCCGACCAACAGGCGCATCCCATCATAGGCTCTCTGTCATTTTGGTGCCGAGTCGATCTCCCGCCAAAACGACGTAATCTATGATAGCTTTACAGTAACTTATATTTACTATAAAGCCCTTTTATTTGGTGTTTCATGGGTGGTGGCGATCATCCCGTCGATCAAGTACAACCAAATTGCAAAGGAAAGTGTGTAAAGTGGAAATGATTAGCTTACTAAAAAAAAAATTGACTGCTAGAAACGCGCGCGTCTCGTTGAAGGGATGTTTTGATCACGTGTTGTTTACACGCGCGGCGCGCCTAATTTGTTCTTTTGACGCAAGTGATGCCCACGTCACAAGGCGTCTTTGTCACATCTGCAGAACTGACGTTGAAAGTGAGCAAAAGACGATTTTCCAGAAAAGAGGTAGGGCCTAAGCTTCCCGACTAAAAAAGAGAGGATAAGTTGCGTTGTTTCAGAATTGAAATGGTAACTGCCCTTAATTACATTACACTTTCTGGCACACATTTTCACTAAGGATTCACCAAATTTAACGAAGTTCGGAAGTTTGTGCTAAATATACTTTAAATTTCTCCACCATTTCCATTCGGTTTTGCCTTCTTGTTAGGGGGAAACAGTACCAGTAATGTCAAAAGAAGAATTTCCTTTTATTATAGTATACATGGATGAGCACATCATTTGATGACAGTTTTTATACTTTTGTTCATTTCGTGACAGCCCCTGCTTACATTTTAGATTGTATATTTGAACTGTCTAAAGATTTAAAATGAAATAAATAAATACAAATAATGAATGTTTCACATTCGTGCAATTTTAAGAATAATTTCATTCGGTGACAGATGAAATGTTCCATTCCAGTCGGCTTCGCTTCGTGAAATGAATCATTTCATCTGTCACCTCATGAAATTACTCTTACCACTGCACTCATAAACATCCATTATTTGTATAGTTCAACACCTGAATAATCCTCATCATCAGATGACGGGGATTTATTCAGGTGTTGTATAAGGCCAAAAAAAAAAAAAAGTCGGTCTCTGGTCAGCGCGCGTGTCGATTTTAATCATGCGCGTCAATCTTTTTTTCTTCCAAAATGTTCCGCGGTAGCTCCAACAACGCCCTCTATTGCCGCACCTCCTCATTTTTTTTTTTTACCAAAGAGCACCAAGGAATGGGAAATTGCACCAAGGCAAATGATCGAAAGCACCAAGGCAAATTATGGAGGACACCAATGTACATGAGGACACCAAAAAAGCAAAATAGTACCCCACCTTGTACAATCCAAACTTGAAGAGAAAAAAAAAGCCGCGTCGCCGCGTCAATTCCGGAACTTTGGTCTGACCAGAGGCCGAATATTTATTTTTTTGGCCTAATACATGTTATTGTTGAAAAGTCGTTCATTCTATACAATAAGTCAGGTGGCATCAGTGTTAAAGTACTCGTACTCGAATTCGAACTCGAGTACAACTCGAGTACCAATAAGCACTTGGCCCGTACTCGATCATAAGTACTCGAAAAAAACAAGTACTCGGCACGTACTCGTAATTTTGTACTCGGGATCGTCCCTTAACTCGACAAATTGTACTCGATGAACTCGATCCCAGTCGCGCAGTACTCGAAAGAAAATTCGGATTCTTTCGATACTGATTATTCGATACTAAAGTTTGACCAAAAATATTTACATCTTTCAAATAACGTGTCTTCACTATGATCATTCCCAACAAATATTAATTCGCAAAATAGGGGAACAAAACGCAAGATAACAAAGTCCATCACCCTTAAAACTGGAAAACTGGGGGGGGGGGGGTGTTTCGCTCGAAGTCAGAGTGGTGTAAATTTAATGAGGGGGGGGGGTGCAAAATGTCTCTGCCACCCTCTTTAACTGATAAATCGAGAATTTGTTGAAAAATACAAGAATTTTTTGGGAAATTTGTTTTGCCCCCCTCTAGAAAAAGTCCTGAAAGAAAGAGACCCCCCCCCCAGATCCGCGCCTGCACCTCTTCGATCGTACTGCGCAACACATGATCGAGTAGTGTGCAATGACACTTGGCCTCCGAAAATCAAAAGGTGGTAAGGGGGGGGGGGAGATCGCACTATACTTTCAATGGGGGCGCTGTTCAAATCCGACGATTATTAACACCAGGCCTATATCACAGAATGTGCACACACCCCTTACAAAGCTGCCGATGTCCGTATTTTTGTGGAAAGCGAACATTGGTACCAGTAAACAGTTTTTGCGTGTCGGAGCGGGGGGGGGGGGGGGTATTTCGCATTTTTTTGGACAGAGCTGGGGGACCCCCCCCCCCCCCCCGGATCCGCGCTTGCACCTCCTCGATCGTTTTGCGCAACACATGATCGAGTTGGTGTGCAGTGACATCGGGGGTGACCCTGCATTTCTTTAGAAGCTTTCGGCCGCAGCACGCGCCTTCCGCCGCCGCGACCCCCGTCTTCTGCAAGGCTAACCCCCTTGCAATTTTCGTCAATTTTCGTCAAAAAATGAAATTGCTCCAAACTTCCTGGAAGGACTCCTAAGGGACCCTGGAACGCATTCCATTTCGATTTAGGGACAGATATATCATTAAAAAGAAATTCATATTTTAGCCAATTTTTATTTCAAAAAAATGTAAGGCGTTAGCCTTACATTTTTTTTTAATACAAATTGTAATGATTGTCAATTTTCGTCAAAATATGAAAATGCTCCAACCTTCCTGGAAAGACTCCTAAGGGACCCTGGAACACATTCCCACTAGATTTACGGTCAGATATAACAATAAAAAGAAATTCATATTTTAGCCAAATTTTATGAAAAATGTAAGGCTAACCCCTTGCAATTTTTGTAAATTTTGGTCAAAAAATTAAATTGCTCCAAACTTCCTGGAAGGACTCCTAAGGGACCCTGGAACGCATTCCGACTCGATTTAGGGACAGATATATCTTGAAAAAGAAATTCATATTTTAGCCAAATTTTATGAAAAATGTGAGACTAACCCCTTGCAATTTTTGTCAGTTTTGGTCAAAAAATTAAATTGCTCCAAACTTCCTGGAAGGACTCCTAAGGGACCCTGGAACGCATTCCGACTCGATTTAGGGACAGATATATCTTGAAAAAGAAATTCATTTTTTAGCCAAATTTTATGAAAAATGTAAGGCTAACCCCTTGCAATATTTGTCAATTTTGGTCAAAAACTAAAATTGCTCCAAACTTCCTGAAAAGACTCGTAAGGGACCCTCGAACACATTCCAACTCGATTCAGGGACAGATATATCATTAAAAAGAAATTCATATTTTAGCCAATTTTTATGAAAACTGTAAGGCTAACCTCTTGCAATTTTTGTCAATTTTGGTCAAAAAAATTAAAATGCTCCAAACTTCCTGGAAAGACTCCTAAGGGACCCTCGAACACATTCCCACTCGATTTAGGGACAGATATATTATTAAAAAGAAATTCATATTTTAGCCAATTTTTATTTAAAAAAAATGTAAGGCTAACCCCTTGCAATGTTTGTCAATTTTGGTCAAAATATGAAAATGCTCCAAACTTTCTGGAAAGACTCCTAAGGGACCCCCGAACACATTCCCACTCGATTTAGGGACAGATATAACATTAAAAAGAACTTCATATTTTAGCCAATTTTTATAAAAAAAAAAATGTAAGGCTAACCCCTTGCAATGTTTGTCAATTTTGGTCAAAATATGAAAATGCTCCAAACTTTCTGGAAAGACTCCTAAGGGACCCCCGAACACATTCCCACTCGATTTAGGGACAGATATATCATTAAAAAGAAATTCATATTTTAGCCAAATTTTATGAAAAATGTAAGACTAACCCCTTGCAATTTTTGTCAGTTTTGGTCAAAAAATTAAATTGCTCCAATCTTCCTGGAAGGACTCCTAAGGGACCCTGGAACGCATTCCGACTCGATTTAGGGACAGATATATCTTGAAAAAGAAATTCATATTTTAGCCACATTTTATGAAAAATGTAAGGCTAACCCCTTGCAATGTTTGTCAATTTTGGTCAAAAAAATGAAATTATTCCAAACTTCCTTAAAAGACTCCTAAGGGACCCTCGAACACATTCCAACTCGATTCAGGGACAGATATATCATTAAAAGAAATTCATATTTTAGCCTAATTTTATGAAAAATGTAAGGCTAACCCTTGCAATTTTTGTCAATTTTGGTCCAAAAATAAAATGCTCCAAACTTCATGGAAAGACTCTTAAGGAACCATCGAACACATTCCAACTCGATCTAGGGAGATATATCATTAAAAAGAAATTCATATTTTAGCCAATTTTTATGAAAACTGTAAGGCTAACCTCTTGCAATTTTTGTCAATTTTCGTCAAAAAAATTAAAATGCTCCAAACTTCCTGGAAAGACTCCTAAGGGACCCTCGAACACAATCCCACTCGATTTAGGGACAGATATATCATTAAAAAGAAATTCATATTTTAGCCAATTTTTATTTAAAAAAAATGTAAGGCTAACCCCTTGCAATGTTTGTCAATTTTGGTCCAAAATATGAAAATGCTCCAAACTTCCTGGAAAGACTCCAAAGGGACCCTGAAACACATTCCCACTAGATTTAGGGTCAGATATAACATTAAAAAGAAATTCATATTTTAGCCAAATTTTATGAAAAATGTAAGGCTAACCCCTTGCAATTTTTGTCAATTTTGGTCAAAAAATGAAATTGCTCCAAACTTCCTGGAAAGACTCCTAAGGGACCCTGGAACACATTCCAACTCGATTTAGGGACAGATATATCATTAAAAAGAAAACCATATTTTAGCTAATTTTTATGAAAAATGTTAGGCTAACCCCTTGCAATTTTTGTCAATTTTCTTCAAAATATGAAAATTCTCCAAACTTCCTGGAAAGACTCGTAAAAGACCCTGGAACACATTCCAACTCGATTTAGGGGCAGATATATCATTAAACAGAAATTCATATTTTAGCCAATTTTTATGAAAAAATCCCTGCCCCCCCCCCCCCTCTTTAACTGATAAATCGAGAATTTGTAGAGAAATACAACATTTTTTTGGGAATCTTTTTTTGTCCCCCCCCCCCTAGAAAAGGTCCTGGCGACGCCCATGGGTTGTGCACATCACTCTTTGTTGGAAACGCGTCACATTCTCTGGCGCATGGCGGCGAGTTCGATCCAGACGTAGACTTCTTCGTCAGCAATTATATCTTGGCGGTTCAGAGATCACAAGGAATATTTCGCTAACGGACAAAAGCAGCACAGCGCAGTATGCAAGTCATGTGGGCTGCGGATTTCGGAGAAGTCTGAAACAACTTTACCAAGCAAAAACAACACTTTTTAATATGTGTACGTGTTAAATTTCTTGGAATACTGGGTATTATTACTTCACATATCAAATGTAAATAACGGTGCTAATTTCCATAATGCTTTAGATTAAAAATGTAGTCGGGATGTACTCGATATCTTTGTACTCGTACTCGGCCCGTACTCGGACTCTGAAAAACTCGAACTCGGATTTTTGGCCGAGGACTCGACTAAAAAGTACTCGGACTCGGCCCGTACTCGGCACTGTGTGTACTCAGAAAACTTTGTACTCGAGTTTTGGTACTCGACTACAACAATGGGTGGCATATTGTCAGAATCGTGACCCACATCAAACTTGGCAGATAGCCATAAAGAAGATATTTAGAAATGGTGACACCCTAAAATTCTTTTGGGAAGGGTGCCTTTTTTCCATAAGTCGTAAATAGCCTCCGCCGTTATATTTTTATACCCATATTTCGGTATATTTAAAAATATACGAACATATTTTTTGAAAGTATATTTTGTGGATTTTATTTATACATATCCTTGCTTCAATAACATTTTCTAAAGCATGTAAGTGAATGGACAATTATCGTTTCCCTCCCTATTACAAAGAGCTCGATTGTTTCTCAATAATCTCTTACCTGAATTTTCAATTAAAGCCAAACAATATTGAAAACAATTGATATTTCAATTCAACTTTTTAATAAACATTTTTTTATAGCTTGCATAGATTTTGTATTTTTCAGTTATCTACAACTTGTAAGTACATGTACTGCTGCACTTTAGAATTCCAAACTTACAATAGTCAGTCTCATAATAAAAGTGTTGAATAACAAACATCCGTATCTTTATTATGAGACTGACTATTGTAAGTTTGGAATTCTAAAGTGCAGCAGTGTCTTTTCACGAAAAGATAAGGATTTTACTGACATTGGATTGTACTTTGCTAAGTCACCATATGTTCAAGTTTAGTTATCTTGAAAAGCGATATTCAATTGTCCTGAATTTAGAATGTTATCTACATTTCATCATAAACGTCAAGCGAATGGACTTTGACTCTCATCTTTGACAATAGCTCTATGGAAGCAGAGGAAATGTAAATGCGTAGGCCTATGGTGAAACGAGTTATAAAAGTATAAAATGACTTAAAGTTTTATTTTACAGAATATAAATGGTGCTCATTTACGATGATACATTCAGTCACTATCAAAATGTTCAAAGTTGGTATTCCGTACTCGGCTGCAAAATTATATTCCATAAATTGCAGTCTACGAGCACACTAAGAGATCAATCAGCATTTAAAAAAACACAACAAATCAAATTAAAACAAAACAAACAGCACTAACGTCTGCATTCTATTTTGACCTAAAATGTTGTTAGTGTGCTATACATGTATATATTTACTGATCGGGTGAGAAGCAGGACACCTCTAATTCAAAATTTGAAACTCGTTTTATTTTTGTATACTCCATTTTTCATGTGTCAATTGTTTTTGCTAGATTTTTGGAAGACTCATAACTTCAATTGAATCAGCCTATAAGTGAAGTTAATTTAAAACTTTTCTGGCCTCCACACGCCATTTTCCTCCAAAAAAGCATGCGGTAACTAACACTTTCTCTAAAAATGTACTATGCCCAATTTTGGTGTATTGTAACAGCGTCGACCATGTAAGACATGATTTACTGTTGCAATCAATGTCTTAAGGCATATAGGATTATCTGGTTTCATGCATTTTCATTTTTAGTTTCCAATAACAACACCACTCAAAATCCAATAAAGAATGCTCGAAACCAAACCTATTGAACTTTCAGCTCAGTGGATATTACACTTTTCGAGAAAACGGTGAAATACCATGCACAACCGTTTAATCACGAAACACAATTCCGTCGATAGCACTCTCTGTATTTCCAAAAATGAGTCAATTGACTGATCATTGGAAATCACGTAAATTTTTCATTTCTTCTGAACGTAAGTACGCCAGACTGATTTACTGGGTGATTGGTACCAGTGCGATCTTCAATCCAAGTAAGCCCTTTGATAATTTGGTAGGTTGGTTTTGGGATAAATGAAAATTATCCTATATGCCTTTTAACAGTGTATGTTTTCATAAAATTCTAAGAACAAACAATGGAATGGTTCACTCGGTGGATTTGACGTGATGATACACAGTGCACTCAAAAAGTCTTCATGGGGGGGGGGGGACAATTAGCGATCCACAACAAACAACACTTACATGTAGTTCTTATACCGTTTTGTGTTGAGGAATTGCCATCCATTAACGCCATGAACTATGTTTTGTTTCACATCAAAAGCTCTGAATCAATGGAAGCTTTGTGAACAGTCCCCTACTAAGTTGGACATGAAGGCAAGACTAATGAAAACATTCAGGGATCAGTGGTCGAACACTTCGAGACCGCGTCATTTCCGAGAAGAAACAAAATAAAAATGAAAATCTGATTCCCACCCTCCACCCTGCAGGCCCCGCCCCGTCTTGAGATCATGTAGCCAAGGTGTAGGCTAGAGAGCACATCTCCCGGTAGCGTTCCTCGCGTCTCTGGGCGATCTCCTTAGCAACGGGTGCCATGGCAGCCTCTGGGGTCATGTACTGGAAGGTCAACGCCATGTTGGCAAAACCATGGCCCAGATACTTGGCAGTTTTGATCCCAGCCTGTGGGAAAGACATGGAAGAAGATAGGGAATTGAGGTCGGGGAGATGAACACGTCCATGTATAACATAAATGATTCGTAGCTGCGGGGGAAGTGGCATGGGCAACCCCCCCCCCCCCCCCACCGCTCAAAGCTGACCAAATGCATCGGTTCAGAATACGAAATACTAAATTTGTATTTGTTGAATCTATGGCAAAAATCCCATTATATGCCAACTTTGAGACGTTCAAAATTCAAATGCCCGTTCCCCAAATACAGTACTGATACGAAGCTTCACTGCATTTTCAATCAATGCCACATCATGTCAGTGCAGGTATATAGTTCACACTACACATACAATGTGTCTTTAAAAAAACACGCCAAAGCCCCCTCTTTCTCACAGATTAAAAAAAAAATACCTCGCAAATATCGAAACATTTGTGGAGAGTATTATTCATTAGCTTTTCACCAACGAAAACATCTTTCCAATCGGGTAAATAATTAATGAGTTATGGCCGAATTCAAAATAAGTGCTCAGTATTTTTCAATCTGTCCACGGTCTCAAATGTCATTTACTAGAAATATTGTGGATTTGGGGTGAGGGTGGTTTTGCTTCTGTAGTATTTTAATCTTTTTTTCTTGATTTGGTTCATTTAAATGTTTTATATTTTTTTTGCAATTATGCTCATTTATCATTTTGGAGGTCATGGTAGTCCTGAAAAGGATGGGTTAACTTTTTTACAAATTTACTGTGCTGCTCTGTGTCTGTTCTCTACTTGGAATATAGCCTTTTTCACAGATGCAGTTTCGGCCCGTGTTCTTATTGCGGCAGTCAAAATATCAGTCACCGTGGACAAAACGAAAAAGCGGTACTTGTAATAAATTGGCCATAACTCAATAAATATTTACCCGATTGGAAAGATTTTTTTGGTGTTGAAAAGGTCATGACAGATACTCTCTAAAAGTGTATCGATATTTGCGATGTATTTTTTTTAAAGCTGTGAAAAAGAGGGGGCTTCGAGGGTTCTTTTTTTAAATTGTTACACCCTGTATATAGTTTTTATAACACACAGTTTCCATTTTCCAGTGATCTGAAATGTATTTTTATCTTAAATGCTGCAGTTTTTTCCCATCCAGGTTTGGTGACAGAGGAGCAGAAATTATAATATGCTCCCATGTCCTTTTAATTATACTCTTCGACAAGTACATGTATGAATCCATATAGGCATGGCATTAGATGACAACATGTCAACCGACAAATTTATATTTTGTTTACTTTAAAATTGCGAAACACTTCGACGTTGTACACGTTCACATGCAGCGACTTAATTACCTTTTTAATTTTCTTCTTCGCCGATTTTTTCTTCTTCTTTTGTGGGGGTGCCTGCTCTTCAGTTTCGATAACTTTGATGTCGTCGGAAATGACGACTCGTTTGACCTCTGACGCCCCCTTCTCATCACACCTTTCCTCATCATCGCTTTCGGACAGTGAACCAGTCAAATCCTGTACCGTTTCGCCAGCAGCATCGGTGGTTGTCTCGTCAACCGGGGTTTCCTCCTCCACTAAGCACTCGTAGGCGCCTTGTCTGCGTGCCGTCTTTCTCTTACCGGAGTCGGGGTCATTCGGGTTGCCCTTCGCTAACCCCAAGCTCCCCCATGCAGCTTGCAAAAGCTCCCTGGGCCTCGCTCGCTTCTGCGGTTTGTTTTTGGTACTAGGGCCAGACGAATTGACCTGCTCCGATGAAGAATTTGGTTGATCGTCAGCCAATGAAGACTTGGCGTCTCTTGGGTAGCACTCGTCCAAGTCCGGATTGTTCTCATCCAGCACTTTGTATTTCCGTTTTCTGAACGGGTTGAAATTCTTCAACCTTACTCGCCTCTTCTTCTTGGGAGTCTCTGAGGCTGGGGAGTGCTCCTTGATGAATTCTTTGATGGCTCCCATTTTAGTGGAAACTTGGCAGGTTTCTTGGTTTGCTTTAAAAAAACTGTCTTGCGAGTGGCTAACATAGCCATGAGAAAATATATCTTATAGACATCATTCTGGTCAGGGTTGCGGATGGATGACAGAAAACTTCTACAATGGCTGTCGCTATAGTCCAATTCAGATACTTACAGGTTAACCAAGCCTTGTCCTATGGGTAGGTCCCGCAGTTTTTCTACGTTTTGAACGCGTATATAGACTACATCACAGGCCTATATTGTACTATTCACATCGTCCAATTGAAAAATAGACGGTCATGCAAAATCGCTCAATGTAATGATGACGTCCAACTAGGTCTTCAGATGCAGATCATCCGCCTACAATAAATGTATGTCTGCTGCTGCTGCTGCTGCTACTACAACAAAACACCTGATGCATTGATGATGATGTATTGGTGTGCTATCATGGAGCAGCAAAGGAGGCTTTTCGTTAGTCCGTTATCGGAACACCTGTGTGGGCAAACAAGTCTCTGCTGCAACCGTGAACAAACAAACCCGTGTAATAAGTCTGCTGCGTCACCAGTTCCCCGCTCACCAAATCAGGGTCAGGCATAACCGAAATCAAACAGAGATGATGTAGATTTAGTATTGTCGAGGTCCTCGATTGTTTAAACACCACAGGTATTTATCAGTCTATCCAACTGGGCGAGGGAGGACGAAGTACAAGTCTTTACCGGCATTTCACCAACACGAACTGCAGTGTGTGTACTGTGAGCTGTATTGACAGTGTGGTTCTTTTGTCAGCTGACAACAAACTAGTCCATATGGCATATCGTGGAGATCCATAAGCATATGCAGTATGGTGCTGAAATACAGGACTCAGCGGGGTCAATGCATTGAAAATGTGCACCGGACTGTATTGGTGATTCGTTCGATCAATACCTATGTACAGGCCTATTGAAATAAAGTAGTAGAGCGTACATAATTTTTAGTCAATAAAAATATCCAATAAATCAACCGGAGTATGAAAGTTACAAATTTACATTTTGGAGCAGAAAATGTTAACGTTTTAATAGCACCTGGGAGCATTATTCCCAATAACCACCAGTGCGTCTGTTGAAACCTCCTGGTAGGGCCTATGTACATTATTCTGAGATATTGTGTTAATAATCGTCGGATGTGAACAGCGCCCCCATTGAAAATATGGTACAAGCCCCCCATCCCCTTACCCCTCTTTATGACCTTACGGAGGCCAAGTGTCCGGAGAAAAAAACGTCTACCTTCAAGAATTTTTTGCTTCCGGGGTATCGGCGTTCCCGGCCAATACACACTTCCTTCCCTGTCCATCCATATAACCCCGGAGGGCCAGGCACCATGTAAAAGCAAAGAGCTAAGGGAGGAACAGGGCGGCACCCTAAGCCCTGATCCTCCGAGTGGACCACATGCCCTGAACCTGTACGAAGGCGCCAACCTGGAACTCGCGGACAGTACCAGCAGCAGTGCTTACCGATTAAGCTAAGGTACTGTTGGTGATTTACGATGGGAAATTAAACATCTTATAATGACTGAATGCGTGCATGCGTTGAAAAACAAAAAGACACCGACGGGATTCGAACCCGGGCTCCACGATTCGTAGACGACGAATCTAACCACTACTAGGCCATTCGGCTTCCTTAGAATTCTGCTCAAAAACGATTTGTCTGAATAGGCGGAGAAACCTTGAACATTGTTGAGTGCATCTGTTTTACCTAGCTCCATGTACGAACAGAAGTTGATACTTCGGGCAGCAATGAGCCAACTGTTTTCATTTGTTATGTTTGGAAAAATATGCGGCAGCTTCGTTAGTTGTAGGCCTATACGTGTGCTAAACTTATTTATAGTTATTTATTTATAGGGGGGGGGATGTCCAGGCCAGTCAGATGTTCATATCCGATTGTTGTGGACAGGCGGATCGTGTCATTATTAAAATACTTATACATTTTCCGCGTTTTTTTAAAGGCCGGGTTGGGGGTGTCTCGACCCCGTCTGTACCCGCGCCTGACTCCTTCTCTTTTCTCAACTCCGTCACTACTATTTCAACATTATATGGACGTCTTTAGAAAAGGAAACATTTTTTTCGGATTTGTTTGTTAACACTGTAAATCAGGCCCCTGTTCCGTTCGCTGTTTCCAATAGTCTTTCATTAGCCTTTAATCAAACACTATTTTCCTGAAAAATAATGTGAGCAGTACGTTCTCATCCTTTTAATTCTATAATTAAAAAAAAACATTAAAACGTAGGGGGCTGTGATGTGCATCATTATAACTTCGCTGGTACACCCCCAGCCCTGCAAACAGGGCCTAGGGCGCTGGGCCGGGAAGGGCTGATGAGTTTCACAGAATTTTGTGTATGAAGTGGGGATGTCTTTCTGGGTAACTTATAAATGACCTATTTATAAAGAAATAATTTTTATAGCTGCAGCTGTTTAAAGTATACAGGCCAGTAAATCGGTGCAAAATTGGCTACGCCGGCCAAATCACGATTTGCATGCCCTCAAATTCTTCGTTTATATTTGAGCACACTAAGGGCCATGAACTTGAGGGTTTGTAAAACATAGGGGTGGAAGCCTTGCACAGGACTATAAGCTTGTAGTTCTGTGCAATTTGGAAGAAATTTGGGACCTAAAAGCGCTCTATTTTGCAATGGAGTATATGCATCGTTTTTCAAAATGGCGACGGGCTTCAGGACTACTTCAAGAGGCGATCATCTTCGGATGGAAATTTCTCCTAAAAGTCATGGTTGACCACCCAAAAAAATGATAAGATAATGAAAGAAGAAGAAATACGCTTTAATTTGACGTGTGTCTCGAACGCTTTGGAGAGTTGTGAGTATTTGTTCCTGAATTTCGGAAGTGGGGGCATTTATAATGGGTTCCAGGGCAATTTATTCACTGGTCGGCAACCTTAAAAGCGGACATAAGTATCGGACAGTAGGCGGCGCTCTTCATCCCTTCCGACTGAGGTGCCATGCTTTTTTTCGACTGGCCGATTTTATCGCCGGCCTGATTTTGCTTCACGCGTCCCCGCCTGGCTCGCTCTTAAAAGCTGTAGCCGTTGCAATTTGCCACTCTGCAACCCCCCCCCCCCCCCCCCCCGTTATGCCACTGCACCGAGGTGAGTAAAATAGGCGCTAAGAATAACGGAAATGGAAGAACAAAAAACTATCCATCCAGGCGCGGATCCCGGGGAGGGGTGGCTTGGGTTGTCAACCCTACCCCAAGCTCTGTCCAAAAAAAAAAAATCCATAGAAATTCATGAAAAAAAATGCGAACCCCCCTTCTTCCTGCTAGGCTCCGATACCCCAATTTTGTTTGGAAATAATAATGTCCGCCTTGCAACAAATACGTACAGAACCAGCTTTTTTCGGTTTTATTAGGCCTACATATTAAAGAAACTATGCAAAAATAACGGGGTTTTGTACAGTTTTTTTTATCGAGGTCGTGGTTTCTAAAATTTAACTTTTAATGTTCTAACAAATTTGAATATTAAAAAAATACACTTCAGTGGTTGTTCAAAGATTTGGAAACAGTCGTTTTCGATTTATTCTATCAGGTTTTGCCTTTTATTGGCATACTGGATTTGCTTATGGATGCCGAAATGGTCCAATAAATAAATTTGTATGTTTTCAATACCATAGTACGTTATGAATGTACAATTATATAGGCCTAGGCCTACACCAAGTGTTGCGTTTGCATATTTTGAACGACGGTAACCCCCCCCCCCTAATATTTGATTTTACGGAGGCCAAGTGTCCGGTGGAGAAAAAAAGCTGGATACGCTGCTGCTACATGCACCGACGGCAAATGCCTTTGGGAATTTAGGACTATGAAATACGTACTCATTGGTAGTATTGCGAACGTTCACCCAATAAAAGGGTAAAAGGGAACAGGGCCCAATTTCTTGGCTCTGCTAACCACATAATTCCGCGCTTACGGCCACAAATTTTGTGCTGACCGCGCTAGCAAAAACAAGCGCAGAATCCTTAGTTAGGGGATATGCGCGTGCGCAGAAGCAAAAATTCATTGCTAACGCGTGAAATACGCTTACCGTAAGCACGGAATTTTCTGCTATAGTAAGCAGGGATTTTTCGCTAACGGTAAGCAGAGCCAAGAAATTGGGCCCAGATTTCATAGGAATCGAACTTAAAAGTGTTTAAGATCAGCCAGCCGGTGTTTTATCAACTGGCCACATGACGGGCTCTCGCCCAATAGGAATGAGTAAACTGTCTTAGGTATTTAGGAGGGACCTAAAACGCACAGTTATTGTACATAATGGCTTCGCAGAATATCGCCCCCATCGTCGAATGATGTCCATCACCGCCTACGGCCGGTCGGAAACTGAAGACAGCGAAACGTGCACCCTATCAAATTTCTTAGATGTAACAGCATGCCAGGAGCAATGCAAGCCAATATAGAAAGAAGCGGTAGATCACGCTGCAATCCCAGATGCGAGCCAGTTAGCGCTAGTGCACAAGGAGTCCGCGTGGAATCAAATCCCAACCAGGCACGCTTGTGAATTCATCCTTCATTAATTGAGGCAGCCTCGCAGATATAAACATTTGTCGGAGGGCAAAACCCAGTATATGTACGGGGCCGTATCATAAGTCCGACGCCTCATAGGTCCGACGCCTCATAAGTCCGACATTTCGGACTTATATGGGCGTCGGACGTATGAGGCATAACGTTTATATATTCCGCATCATAGGTCCGACGCCTCATAAGTCCGACGCCTCATAAGTCCGACAAATTAAACGCTTTGTTTTTCCGTTGTCGGACTTATGAGGCGTCGGACGTATGAGGCGTCGGTCCTATGAGGCGTCGGACTTATGAGGCGTCGGACCTTTGAGGCGTCGGACTTATGGGCCTTTATTTGATTAGGGGATGCGATTTTGTCGGACTTATGAGGCGTCGGACCTATGAGGCGTCGGACCTATGAGGCGTCGGACTTATGAGCGGACCCCATATGTAAAGTATAGGAACATGGTCGAATCAGGTACGTTTGGGAACGGATACAAGGGGGAGCTGGCGTTGCTAACCACGCCCAACCCTCTACAACTGACAAGTGTTAATTCTTAAGCATGATGGAAATATCAAAAATTTCCCGAATAACGTCATTACTCGATTGTCAAATCTTGATCCTTTACTTCAGGTGCTTGATAGTCGTATTATGGACATGCGTTAACTGCAACGCCTCATCCAGCTTCCCCTATATAATCCCGGACCGATAATGTAACAGCAATTGACTGATAGTGTGGTACATTTTACTTACACTATCGGTCAATTTTTGTTACATTATCGGTTAATGATACAATATCGGTCAATTAGTATGACATCGGTTGATGATACGTTATCCGTTCTAACATCCTACCCCTGGACAATCTTATGGGCTCCGTGCGCCAACGAAAAAGGGCGCCCTTTTACCTATAGCAACGACGTCCCATGGTCGGGACATTTAGCTGGTTGACGCGCACCGTTCCTTGTGTGTGACGCACGTACACCAGGAGATTTGCATGGGCGTCGCGAGGGGGGGGGGGGGCAAAAAAAAGGGGGAAAAAAGAGAGAAAATAAAATAAAAAGAGGCGCAAAGTCATAGTGGTGTAAATTTAATGGGTGGGGGGGGGGGGAAATGTCCCTGCCCCCCTCTTAAACTGATAAATCGAGAATGTATTGAGAAATACAGGCATTTTTTTGGCAAAAAAAATGTTTTGCCCCCCTCTAGAAAAAATCCTGGCGACGCCCATGGAGATAGATTTGTACTATGTACACGCAGTGGTACGGCTGCGCGTCGCGGCAAAATTGTAGTCAGGCAATATGGCGTCGGTCGGTCACCCCCAACTGTACTTTGCCAGTGAGGGGGTACTTGTCAACGGAGCGGATAGACTTCAACTTCCCAACCAACGTATCCCACCTCTGGAAAGTCCTGACCCAGCCACTGTACATGACCCTGACCTATATCACAATGTCCACAGCATTCCATGGTAATTGACCTATTCTATATCTAGGGTGAAATATTGTCCAATACATGGTATACAAATGGACGCGGAACGCGCAAAATCTGAGACAAACAAAATTTAGTCTACAAAAACTCCACAGGGTTGTCTAAGGGGGGTGGCTAACTCGCAAACGGCGATAGGTCAAGTACATTTGGACTTAGTGCAACCACAGTACACGTATATCTGGAAACTCTCAGACAAATGAGACCATGCAAAGTTTAATTAGCTCGATTCTGAATAATTATTGTCGTCTGTACGAAAAACTACGGTTAAGCCAAGTCTAATTCTCTGGCGGAGTGGGAAATATAATTATATGGGCCATGTTCGGTGGAGATGGGCCAATCAGCTACGTGGTGAATATCAAATGAACTTTTATGGATATTTAATTACCATTACAGGCTGGTAGCAGAAGATATAACAGACAGATGGCATAATGGTTGACAGACGTATACTACCTGGACGAGTGCACTGTACTACCACACACCATCCATGTAAGTTAACGTTATAATTTAGTACGGATTTTTTTTTATCAAATCCATCTGAAATTGTAGGATTTGTTTCTTCATGGCAAAATGTCGGGCCTTGCTTATGTATAGTTCTTATTTCTACAGTTAAACAACGAGTCTCTATGTACAGCCTGTCTCAAAAAAATGGTACAATCGAAAACGTTTTTTTTTTTCCATATTCAATCTCAACATAGGTAAGTCGTTTTGAGCATCACATTAAAGAAAAAAGACCAGGCTTTCCAATACTTTTTTGTTTTATCTCATTTGCTTTTGTCAATCTAGAGATAACTCCAGTTTACTGCGGAACACAAAAATCGAGTTTGTTTCTTTTTCCAAGTTGCAATCTTTTGTGAGCTTCAAGACAGCATGGCACAATACTCGAGGCAACTCTGCCCATGCATAAAAGTGGCACAAATCTATTTCGGTGTATCGCACTAAATTGATTATATCTCTGAATTGACAAATTAAAGCAAATAAGATCAAACAAACACTATTGGAAAGCCCAGTCTTTGTTCTTTAATATTATGCCAAGTAAGAAACCTTATCTGGTTTTTAACTTGTATTAATACCATCTTGGGGTATAATGTATAGACTTGAAACAAACAATCTACCCAAAACTACTCATTCGCTATTTAACCAAAACTCGAATATTCATTCTCATTGAATACAAAGGTCAGCCGAAAAACTTCATCTCCATAAAGCTATAACATCTCTTTACTTATTGACTGTCAGAAACCAAGGACCTCTATTGTGGAACCACCTCAAACCAATGCCTATCTTTAGATCAATGAAGCACTTCAAAAACTACCTAAAACGTTGCTATTGGCAAGTTATACTGATAATTAAGTATCCCAATAAATACTCAATTTCATGTCATCTCACGGATTGTTGAAAAAGTATCATTGTTTTAAAATGTCTTGACCACTTTTTGCTCCTTTGTCCCCCTAGCTATTCCTTCCTTTCTTGTATTATTGTAATTAATTGATTTATTTCCTTGTAATGTATGGATATAAAAAGTATATTGGAATATTCCAGAAGTACAAATGTGAATATTAGCGGTTGAGTTAATTTCTTTTCAATATAATTACTATAGGCCTACATGTATATCACCTGATTCAATTCAACTAGGTACATATTAATTTATAAGCTTAATTTGTAATTACGGGTTAGGTCTTGTACAAGCATAATGCCTTTTACCTGGATCCCTCGTATCATTTTTTTGTGTCATTCTTTATATTGATTCTTGTTAATTATGTTTTTGAGATATGATTTGAAAAAAAAATAAACCAAACCAAATCAAACCAAACCTAACTAAAATCCGTCGTATAAAATGTGTGGGGAAAAAACCAGAACGAATTTATACCAATTTTATCGCCCGTACGAGAATCATTCATCTTCTCAAAAATCACTCAATACGACCAGTACTTAAACACAAATGTATACGTATACGTTCGCTTGCTTGTTGTACATCATTTTTGTTTGAAGCGATTGATCAAAATAGGGTGCATAACAACTAACCTGGGAATATGCACTTAACCAAAAAAGAAAGTCCCCCTAACACTTTTTTTGTCTAACTCAAAAACTACTGCGCACATCTTGCTCAAATTACAACTGATCGGTGCAGAAATTCCTTAGCAATCCAGCCAATCCCATACTCTTTTTTTGCCGAAAACAGTGATAATGTGTACAATTATGCAATTGATGACACTGGTACGGACATTTTTTGGCACTTTTGTATACGTGCAAGGTGAGTGTGAACCACAACTTGCACGTATACAAAAGGGCAACTGTTTAGGTACGCTATCATTTGTCATAAATTGCATAATTTCGTACACATTATCACAGTTTCGTGCCAAATAAAGAGTATGGCTGGATTGCTAAGGCACTTCTGTACGGATTTCTTGTTATTTGAGCGAGAGGTGCGCATAGTTTTGAACTGGACAAAAAAAAGAATTGGAAGGGTGGGAGACTTTCTTTTTGGTTGAGTGTAGCTCATTGTCGGTGGCTAACTATAATGTTGAGAAAAACAGACGAAACATAAGTGTGCCAACACACTTAATAAAGCTTGCCCAATTGCACGGCTGCCCCATTTTGAAAACGCCTTCAATGTTATAGTTTTCTTACAAACGATACCAATTCAGGCAGAATAATACATGTAGTGTACTGTACATATATTTGATGCCAGTCCATAGTTTGAGCTTTATGTAATTAAATCGGTAGCTACTGTTCCGGGTAATTGCAAATTATTCTGCGATAACTTTAAAGACTATAACCGCTCAATCAAAACGGTTGAGATTAGCCGTGAAATTGCCTTTTAAAAAAGGTAGACAACATATGCCCATTATTATACTCTAATTATATGCTCCGTCAGAATGAGAACAAAAATATCACTTGCCGGTCTGTGGCTGTAAAAAATAAATGAACCAGTATTGCACAACTACCGCCCAACATTGTTCATATCAAACATATTTAACTGCTCAAATAACAACATTGATAAAGGTTACTTAATGGTACATGAGTGCAGGGCTGTTGTTTCAATTTAACCAGCCGTAGGGCGGACAAAATTTAGGTTATTCCCAAAATTAAGGCAAAATTAAGATTGTGGGTTCTGAGTCCCGGGGTTCGCCGTTTTTTGTATAAGTCCAAATAGTGGAGCTGCTAAGCGAAAAATCGTGCACTTTGTGGTAAAAGCATGAAATTTGGCATGTGGGGTCAAAATGGGCTAAAAATCATTTTAAGATCGGGACCCATCCTGGATCTTGCCCATTTTGGGGGCGGAGCTTGATTTTTCAAAAAAGGGGGTGCAAACAATACAAACTCATGAAAACTGTATTTAACATCAAATTTCCTTGTTTTTTTTACGTTTTGAAATAAACTTAAACATGAAATAAGACATTCTAGCATTCTAACACCTGTTATTTTCCACCCATTTTGTGGGCGTGCTCTAGATGGTAAAAGAGGCGGTATATCTTAGCAGTTTGGTTCTAATATGGAAAACATCATTCAGTTTGGTGGTAAAATTCTAAAAATTGGCATGTCCAATTGAAATGGGCTGAACATAATTTTTAGAGGTGAACGCATCTTGGATCTCGCCCATTTGGGGGGCGGAGCTTGATTTTTCAAAAGGGGAGTGCAAAAATAGAAAACTCAGAAAACTGTATTTTACATCCACTTTGTTTCTCATGCTTTGAAACAAAGTGGATGTAAATTCTAACATTCTAACACGTGTTATTTTCACCCTTTGCGGGCGTGGCCTAAATATGTAAAGAGGCGGTACATTAGAGCAGCTTGATTCAAACGAGGGAAAATCATCTTTCTTCTCATTGTCTTCTCTATAGGTTTTTTTTGGGGGGGGGGGTTGCGAGCTACAGTGCCTGGGGCATGCACTTTTGAGAAATCCTTGGTTTCATTACCAGAAAAAAATTATTTAACGTTTATACTTCGTTTCGTATGAATAAAAAGGAGTAAATGCTTCAGATTTCAAATATGCACTTGTCATTCACAAGGCTGGGTTGGGGCAACCTTGAAATTACAAAGCAAATAATTATATGTTAATCGCGTAAAATTAATATTAACTAAGTTCACAGGGTACAAATGATACCATGTTCGTATGAATAAAACATGGCATTTGCTTTTACTTCCAATTTTGAAGCAGTTTACTCGCATCTGTATGAATGAAAATTAAGCAAACACTTTTACTCAAAACCATTTGCTAAAATCTGAAAATAATTAGTTTTTACCTTTTAGGTTTTGCTACACTATAAGCGTTTAAAAGTATGAATATAAAAGAAGTAAATGCTTCAGATTTCAAATATTTACATGTCATATTTCTGAAGTCCTTTATCTACAGAACTGTAAGTCCGATTGGGTTGAAACTTGGTATGTGGCCAGACCGGGATGTGTTATAGGTAAAAAAAAAATGAAGTGACGTCATGATGACACCATCCTGAGATTTTTTATGAATATTTGAATTTTTGGACCGTTTAGCCATATCTCACGAACGCAACATGCAAAGTTAAAAATTCTTTTTTGTATTTGGATTGTTAGGTAATAGGTATTTGCACAACATTTTTGAAAAACTTGGGTAGGTAGATAATGGTACTAGTATGCAAAGTCCGAAGTGACGTCACGATGACGTCATCATTTGATTTTTTAATGATTTTTAAATATTTATGATTTTATTCTGCTTCCAAAATTGCACACTTTCTTTCATCGGATAACCATTAAACTTGGTTCAAACCAAGACCACAATGACAAAATGTGTATTGAGAAGGGTTTTAAAGATGACGTCATTGCAGGGCATGTGACGTCATGTGATAACATTACATTTTAGGAATTATTCTAAGCATTTGAACAACCTTTAACTGCATGAAGCACTATGACAAGTGACTGCAAAAGGACCAACGAAACATAAACATTTATAAAATGCCCAAAACCCTGTGTTCTGTTTGCAAACAGACATGGTGTTTCATCTTTTTATTTTTAATATGACGTCACGTGACATGTGACGCCATATTAAAATTGCATATTTTGAAGGCCAATATCTACAGAACCACTGGTCCGATTGGGTTGAAAGTTGGTATGTACCTAGACCGGGATGTGTTATAGATGAAAATTGAAGTGACTCATGATGACGTCATAATGGGTTACGTGACGTCTCGTTAGAGATTAATAGATTTGATCTTAAAAAATCAATATAAAAAAAATCAATATAAAATCAATATGATTTTCGTGGGATATGATAGAATTATCGAGGGTCTTCATTTTTCATATTATGTGCAAAATGTTATTTTGTAATAACGTTTTGCATGTAGTACTTTCAAAATCTAGGATATGAAAGCCGATTCATAAGCTTTCTTTTAGTACAAGAATCATTCAAATCACTCATTATGTACTTTTCAAGTTACGGAATTTTAAACACAACCACTGTTTTAAAGTTCTGTCCACGTATCACAAAAAAATGGTGTGTGTTCTTTCAGCAAAACGAAAACAATTCCAGCGCATCCCCCTATATGTGAAGGGTTTTCGTTTTGCTGACAGAACTTTGAAGACGGTGTTTGTGTTTAAAATTCTGTAACTTGAAAAGTACATAATGTAAGATGATGTCTTTCAATGTAAGATGATGTCTCAAAACACCAAACTCACTGGTTCGACTGGAATCCTGCTGCTGCACAATTTTAACGTGTTATTTCTCATAAAGTTATTTCTCACGTCTAAGTTTATTTCAAGCATGAAGAACAAAGGAAAATGGATGTTAAATACAGTTTTTCTGAGTTTTTTAATTTTTTGCACTCCCCTTTTTGAAAAATCAAGCTCCGCCCCCCCCCAAATTGTGCAAGATCCAAGATGTGTTCACCTCTTAAAATTATTTTCAGCCCATTTTAACTGGACCTGCCAATTTTCAGGATGTTACTACCAAACCGAAAAATGTTTTCCATATTAGAACCAAACTGCTGATATATACTGCCTCTTTTGTACATTTAGGCCACGCCCACAAAATTAACTGGTGTTAGAATGCTAGAATGTTATATTTTATGTTTAAGTTTATTTCAAACCATAGAAAAACAAGGCAAATGGATGTTAAATACAGTTTTTATGAGTTTGTATTGTTTGCACCCCCTTTAAAAAAAATCAAGCTCCGCCCTCAAAATGGGCAAGATCCAGGATGGGTCCCGATCTTAAAATGAATTCTAGCCCATTTTGATCCCATTTGCCAAATTTCATGCTTTTACCACAAAGTGCACGATTTGGGCCAAAAATGGACCTAAGCAGCTCCACTAAAAGCAGATACTGGTCCACTCGGAGAAAAGGGCTTAGGTTGCCGCCTTGTTTCCTAATTCCTTCTATTGTACTTGAAAGGCTTATGAAAGGAAAGGAGGTATGGTGGGCTGGGAACGCCGAGATACCAGAAGAGTCCTATATGAAAGTCTGATTAACGTTATTTTTAAGGCATAAAAACGACACATGAATGCTTGGTCATCAACCACACCTTTTCTGTGTGGAACACAGTGGGTTAGGTCATTTAGTTTCAAACGATACAATATCTTGCCTTCTCAAAATTCTCAGCAGGCGGGGCCAGGTACATATTATGGGCCAGGTACATATTAGATTGTGATGTAATTTAACCCGGATATAGGGTTGTACGTCCTAATCTTAATTTATAGTATAATTATATGTAAATAAAACTAATAAAAGGAGCCAAGTCTGGACGGATGGCGTGAGTTAATGGGAGGGGTCAGCATGTCTATTATTCTGGTTACGTCTCGATAGTCCGACGTCCCATTGGTCCGACGTCCCATTGGTCCGACGTCCCATTGGTCCAATGAAAGGTATTACTGTGTAGTTCCACTGGTTCAGGTTGACTGACCCTAATCCTAAGCCTTATCCTATGGGGTGTCGGACCAATTGGACGTCGGACCAAAGGGACGTCGGACCAATGGGACGTGTAGACCAATGGAACATATAGACCAATATGGTGACTATAGAGACGTCGCCGTTATGGCTCGTAGATGATTCGTCCTATTAATGTTATTTTCTAACATTTTCCCCTCATTGCCCCCAAGACTGACGAGAAGATGGATGAGGGAAAGACAACAGCCGACCAGCCGACTCACGGATGGCGTCACAGAGTGCTCCGCATCCTACGGATCCCCGCGGTCAAGGTGCTCCGGGTATTCCGTCGCCCAATCCGAAAGCATCGCTCCGGGTTAGGTACTCTCCCTACGTACGGTGCTACGGAGGACTGTGATGAAACCTTGCTCTCAAGTATGACCCAGGGAGAACAGCAGAATGATGATCACATTGATGACTCCATTGCTGCAACCGATGACGGACCGAAGCGAAGCTTGCGTAAACGGGTAAAGGGACCACATGTATTTCATTCGGGACAGGGTGTGGGTATAGGGGATAGGTATGCGGTTCGGTAGAACTGACTGGTAATATCACGAGTTATTTTCACGAAATCAACGTACAAACATCTTACCATTTTGCTATGAAAAGCATATTGACCATAATGTGCCAGATGAAAACTTCCACACAAAATGGCAATTTAACAAGCAACTTTTTTCGAGCCGCATTTGTATTCTGTACGTGCACTAATTCTAATGGTCCCTTATGATACGATTCGGAAGACGTATGCGGCAAGGAAAACTCACCTATTAATTCACCATTAGGCGACTTTATCCCATACGCGTACCATTTTTAATGGTACCTAAAAATGATGCAATCCGGAAGACGTATGCGCAGCTCGGGAAAAAATGTTGCTTGTGAAATTCCTAAATTAGTTTTGGATATTCATGGATACACTATGCGTATTTCACATCAGCAAGCTTTTCTGAGTTGCATGGTCCTATCCCGTGAGTTCATCATTTCTAATGGTCCCTAATGACTGTCAACATATAGCACAAGCATAGACACGAACCTAGTCTTTTGACAAGGCCGTCGTGACTTTGGCCTGGCATTGGTTTGACGAATTGACATGACGAACTGAGCAAAGACCATACACTCGCCGAGTGACGAAATCGTTTCATAATACGACAACCTCCTCTCAATGCTTGGATATGATTTTGCTGTGCCATGTCGTTTCCCACCATGCATTTTAACCATCATCTTTAAACCCAATCAGCATTGTTTGCGTATGTCATACTGCCAGTGGGTCGTAAAGGGAGGCGCGGCCAACCCACGGGTGTTCAGGATGTCATCACTCGGGCCCGGCTGTACTGTATCCTCTTCATTCGCCTCACCTCTTCGCCGTTCGGTCAAAATGGCCAACGTCACGTTAGCCTTGACAAAAAGCGAACATATGAACCTTACCGTAGGTCCTGATGGCCCCATACAGAACCCCAGTCACACCTCTCTCTTTCAGTTTGAGTTATTTTTCGAGCACAAAGCTCTGAGAAATTCGGTGATATATTAAAGATTCAAAATTATGAAACACTGAGTCCACTGAATTCATAAAGAATCTTCCTATGTACTTCGTCAGTTTCAAGCTTCAAGTTTGGTTTATTTCACTCACACAACACAATAGGTAGTAAGCATTGATGAAGATTTTTTTGATCGAGGGATATCTGGAAACTTGGAAAATACCAAGAATAGTGTGGAAATACAAAATCAATATTATCTTAATATCCACCAGTTTTAACGGTCAAACAAAGTCATGACAAGGCAGAATAATTAATCATAAAAAACATATTGTTGGTACTTTGCGTTTTTGAGTCAAAAGATGAACAAGAACCGAAAAGGAACCATCAATATGATTTCAGTATGGGTAATCGAAACCGAATGACGGGTTTTTTTGAGTGGAGATTTAAGCACCGGGTTTCCTTTCTCATTTTCTTTCTCATGTTCCTTTCTTATCTCCTTTTTGTGTTTTTGAAACCACAGATGACGAAGACGTTGCGGAGGTGGGTGCAGCATTACGGCTACAGCGCACTGTTGTGCGGATCACCGCTTAGTACTGCGTACATAGCACGTGATATTCAGCAGCGAATCACCTTGAACCACGAATATGTAGAGATGCTAGACCTTTATATGCCTTCTTGCGTATTCTACTGAGCATCTAAGTAATAACTTTGTAGCTCTGCATATTTGCATCTGCAATTTCCCATTAAATATGTCTAACTGAAGTATTATTTCATTTATAAGTATTGAATTTGGTATTTCTTGTCATCTTAGTGATTACGCCTTTCCATACACTGTCGGGAGCCAAAATGTGGATTCTTGGCCTCTTGGTTTATTCAACGTAAAATAACAGCAGATCTGCGAAACTGCAACCAGCAATCGTACACCGGATGGCCGTGTCGCTAGCTGGTGCAAGGAAGCAGCCACAGGACTTGTTGATAATTGTCTGGAAGAGGATGAGACGGTCTCCGACTGAAATTAAACCCGTGAACTGGTTTTTCATGAATCGCACAATAGGTGATGGTAAAGTGCTGACAAACGGTGTCACGAAAGGAGTGATGCTGTGAGAATTCTGCGCAAAAAGATGTGTACAGCCAAGAATAGCTTCTCCAAAAAGGCAACATCCAAAAAGAACTACAACACATCAAGACTATCCTTCAGCTCAACGGATACAAACAACGCCAGATCAACTCCTCCAAACCCACCAACTCTCATGACCCCAATTCCAACCCCTGTACAGCCCTCGGTATGTTTTCCTTACTTAGGTGTCGCCCAAGTAGTCAGGTGGCTTAGTGTCATATTTTGACATTACCGTTACTTGGCGGATAAAAGCACCAAATTTGGCATGAAGCTCCCTTAGGACCTATTAATTAATGTTAGCCTAGGAGCCCTCCGGAGGTTTTTAAAAAAACTCATGTAAAACACTAAATTTCAAGATGGCCGACATCTATGCCAAATTATCACTTTTGCTAAGTCCTGGGAATCATAAGAAGTTCAGAGAGATGGCAAAATATTGATTTTCCGTGGCGTAAATCTGTGACGGCGTGTGGGGGGTCGGGGATGCCCAAAATCGCCCGGCTGAGGAATCCGAAACTGAAGCGGGGACGGGGGGGGGGGGGGGGGGGGGGGGCTGCTTCACATTACACTATTGGCACAATATTCATTATATATCGGAATGTACTGATAATGTCGCGGATCCGGGGGTGGGGAGGTTTGGGCCCAAGCGCCCCCCCCCCCCAGCTCTGTCAAAAAAACATTCTGACACCCGAAACAAATTATACTTGTATTATGTCCGCCTGTGCACAAAATACGGACAGAGCCAGCTTGGTTAGGGGGTATTTGTGCACTATTCTGTAATATAGTCTTAATAATCGTCGGATGATAAGCGCCCCGTTGAAAGTATGGTACCGGCACGAGCGAGCCCCCCCCCCCGACCCGCACAGCCACCTATTGATATAACGGAGCAAAGTGTTCAAACAAAAACAACCTGTCTATGGTTCTGCACTGATTTGCTGATTAACCCCCCTTGCAAAAAACTCCTAGATCCGCCCCTGTTTATCTCAATTTTTTTCAGTGCTATTGAATACATTTTGGTTATAATTAAAAAAATACCTGAACAAGTGGGGGGATGTTAAAAAGAGGAGGAGATGTATAACCATTAACCTCATTCCACGGGACTGGAATCGGCCTTTTCCAGTTGCCTACCAAGACCAAACTGGTGAGAGCTGACCACCTATTACGATACCATCTTCTGGAAATGAAAAGCACACTCTTCCTGACAGCTCACCTGTGTACCAGCCCTAGCTTTGAAGACTACTGCTGTTGCGGTGCCAGAATGTGACGAATTTACAGTTGAGATGTGCTTAGCTGAGGCCGGAGCCGAGAAACACATGGAGGCCTTCATGCGCAGCGAGGGCGCCAAAGATGAATAGTCGGCCACGGCTTGGAGCAACGACATGCAGAAGAAGAGTCGTACTTCCATGTTCTGGGACCTGATCATGAGATATGAAACCCTCATTCTCATCTTCATCAGGGTCCATTGATGTGGATGCCTATCCACATCAAGGTTATGACGCCCTTTCCCGACACTATCAAGGATGAGTTTGAGAACAAGATTGTGAAAGTTTTGGGTGGTGCTGTTGGGCTCACAGCAAATCCTGTTGCTTTTTCAACGATGGATGATCTCAGGACCAGAGATGGCTAGGCTGCTGAAGCAATTTAAAGAAGAATACCTTCCCAATGATGACACAGGGATCCAAGAGAACTTCCAGCACCATGAGCAGGGTCTCTCAACACAGATGAGACACAAGAGACAGGTTGCCAGCCTCGCTGATACCATCAGACAAATGATCAATCCTTTCTTGTAACTCTGGACAGTCGCAACTGCACGTATGAATCAGTGGTGGCCGCATTGCGAACCATGGAGGACAAAGGCAAGAAACAGTTCAAGGCTTCGTCAAGAATGTGCTTGATGTGCGCAGCCACTCTATCCATAATCCAGTCAAGAGTAATTCTCTATAGCACTATTCAGGGAACCTAAACGTAAGGCAACATCTAAGCAGGTGAAGAAGATCAAAATGCTTCAGCACAATCTGGCACTCTTTGGTCAGCTATACATTATTCTACGCAGAACCGCGATGGTGACTTGGCCGAATTATTTGCACATGAGATACAGTCCTTCCCTCCTTACCTATCAGACTTTGACAAGCTTCATTTGCCAAGTACGAAGTCTGACCTGCTGAAATGTCTTGAGCAGCCACGTCAATCAGAACCCCTTTCAACCTATGACTGCAAAGTCCTGGATGGTGCCGTCATCGTACACTGCCTGCCCACTATCGGCATCAGCACCTTCAATGAGTATGCAGACAGGGTCTTCGTCCCTAACATGGGAAGCAGCTGCAGGATGCCGCGAGGTTGGATGTTGTGTGGGACACATACATCCCAGACAGTTTGAAGGAGTCAATCCGGGGGAAAAGATGTAAGGGTGTACGCAGGAAAGTGTCGGGTGAGACCAAACTCAGTGCTAGGCAATTGGATGGACTTCCTCCATGACCCAATCAACTAGAAGGAGCTGTTTGCTTTTTGACTTCCAAGGTTGAAGAGTTGAACTGGCCATCAGCCAAAGCTGTACATGTCACATCAGAACAAGCTGTGGCATCCATTGGTGGCAGCAACCCCCATGCAAAACTGTAATCATGAGGACACCTGTGTTGTGGTTCATGTGCTACATGCACTGAAACAGGGGGGAAAGACTATGTGTGTACTGGGGACACAGATGCTGTAGTCATCCTTGTTGTCACATTCCAAGTCTGATTGCGACTCAACCTTTGGCCGACATCTTGGTGGTCTTTGGCATGGGTAAAAATTACAAGTTTTACCAAATCAAGGCCATCTGCACAAACCTGGGGGAGCCTCAATCATGAGCATTACCTGTGTTCCACGCATTTTAACTTCAAGGGTATAAGAGGTCGGTTGGGCAGGCCTCAGTGGCAGGACAATGAAGACGTCACAGAGACATGTATCTGGCTGGTCATCCTTTCTAGATGCTGGATCTCAACGATGACCATTTTCTAAGGATCGAGAGACTGACTGTATTAAATCCTATTTGACAAAACCATGTCCCCTGAGCTCTGTCAATGGGATAAGAAGGGAACTCTTCTGCCATAAGAATCGAGCAATGAACAAACTGCCACCCACCAAGGATGGGGTACTCCAGCATGTCAGACGGGCAGTGTATCAATCAGGAATCTGGACGAATAGCTCACAAACACAGCTATTGGTTCCATCTCCGCAGGAGTTTGCCTGGCCCAAGATATCAGTCATGGGTACCAGTAAAAATGAAAATTTCAGAAATTTCCAGATCGTGCAGAGAGCTTATCAAATACGCTCCTGCAGTTGTAACAATGTAAAGTGTGTGTTAGACATTACAGAACAATGCCACATACATATCCGCCGAGTAACGGTAATTTCACTAAGCCACCTGACTAAAGGGCGGATCCAGAACACAATTTTTTGGGGGGCCAAAAAATTTTGGCCCCCCAAAATGGTGGGTCAAAAAAAATTACGGCGTGGGGTTCGGGGCCCGCTTAAGGGCCCCGAAAATTTTTTGGATTCTAGATGCTCTGTGGTGCGATCTGAGGCAATTTCTGACCACTTTAACCAATTTTTTTGAGGAAAAGATGGTGGTGTACTCATTGCCTGCCTTTATTGCGATGTCACATTAAAAAAAAAAAAAATTGGTTTCGTTTTGGGGGGGCCATGGCCCCCTTTGGCCCCCCCCCCTGGATCCGCCCTTGGTGTCGCCTCCTACCAGCTCCAGCGCATCTTCCGTGAACCGGCACAAACCCCCTCTGACGGAACACCGGGCGCATGGACGGCGATAGTCTAGAGGCTAGACGTTGTTATTGTTTGTACGCGATAGCCCGCCGCGCCGCCGCGATAACCGGCCGCCCCGCGAGGGCGCTATCACGACCAACCAATATCGCCCACGAACCCGTCAGAACAACGTCTAGGACACTTGCTAAAATCTCCCCCCCCCCGAAAAATGGGGGAAAATAGGGCGCATGCGCGACTTCTGCAGGCAATTACGGTCCATTTTCAGTACCACACATACTACACACAACAAAAGAGCTGACCAGTGAAATTGCACAAAAGTCTTGCTGAAGCTTTTAACCTACTGGAAGAAATTTTAGAGTTTGCTTCGGAACTACTATGAATTTTTAAACTGCGCACGCACTGCATATATTAGGCCAAACCGATGCGCGCGCATTACACAACCAATAGCAAATGTTCTACTGGAGTGCCATGTACTCGCACCCTGGAAATTAATGCACTACAAAGAAAGCAATTATCTAACGTAGTTCCATCTCTTTTATCGTTCTATTTTTTTTCATCTATTGTTTTCATCTTTTTTTTCTCTTCCGAGAGATTCAAGTACATGTATTTTAACTTTTAGTTTTCAATATATCCCAGTCCGTTGGTTCGTTTTTGTTTTTGTTCGTTTTGTTTGTCCTGTTCCGTTCGCTGTCTTTCTGTACGATCTGTTTTAAGTTCTGTTTGTCAATTTTTTGTCTTAAAAATGACATTTCTGTATAAGACGTTTGTCTTTTGAGCATGCCTCCATAATTGCCCCCTTTTTTCATTTGTATCTTATACATAATTATTGATTTTTTTTTTTCAAACATACACTTTGTTCGTATAATGACCTTCTGTCTAGTTACCTGAATGTTCTTTGCAATATGAAAATAAATGCTGAGATGAACTGAATGAATTGATTTGAACTGTTCATCAGACAGTATTGCAGTATGCTAAAGCGATGTCTGGAAAATAATGTGGCGAACTCAGTAGGAAAGACAAGGTGAATATATTGAGGAAATTGAGGGCTGAACTACGTCAGCTTGAACGCACCATATTTTACAGATAACACGGAAACGGATTTTGTTAGAAATTGTGCAACGACGAATGCATGGTTTTCAAAAAACCTATTTGTAGATCAATACATCACTATGAAAGGTCACTGCAAACAATAGAATAAGGAAACAGAGGTTCGTGTAGTTCATTGTGTTCAGCGACTGCATAACATGGCGGCGAGTGGATGACTCTGCCCGTTCATTAATCGATGCTTGTAAAAGGTTTCAAAACTTCCACTAGTCTGTTTTACAAGGAGAGTTACACTTCACGACCGTAACGTACGTGGCATCGATTACAAGATGGTCAGCGTACATGTCTATTTTTTGTAGAGAAAAATATCATTCGCCACACAATTATAGAC